GAATTTATATAATGACGTGTTGGGTGTTTCTTGTCTTTTTTTAATGATATTTTTAGATATATTGTATTTATTTTATCGTATTTTTGTACATAGATGATTGTTTTTTTGTGTGTGATATGCTACGGACCATTCTCCGTGTCCTTAATAAAGTCATCATCATCATTATTATTATTATTATTATTATTATCATCATTATTATATTAATATTTATCCTATTTATTAAAAAAATAAGTAATACTAGTTATATTTACAAATAATTATATAATGACATTTATGGCAAAAAAAATCATACATAAACATACATAAATGTATGGGCTATACATATATGTCAATGTATGAAATTGTTCCAGTTTTTAATAGGTCTCAATTATAGTTTGTACATATATTTTTAAATTCATATGTACACTGAATTCATACATTGAAATTAATGTACTTATAGATATTTATTTAGTTAATTATTTATTTTCAAACTGTGTCCTATATAACTATAACATAACTATAATTAGCGTATTACAGAAATATGATATGTTACATATTTTCTGTGCAACTTAACGATATTTTCAGAGAAAGTGTCGCTTTTATAGTCAGATAAATCATACGCTTTTATTTTGTAGGCGTATTCTCATTACATCCGGTGTCATTCTTGCACACACGGCTGCCTCAAGCTGCTGTCCGACGGGAAAATACGGAACACAAGTTCAAATGGAGGTAAAGGATCATTTTAAAGGCTGTTTATCGGACTTGAGTGGAGAGACGCGCTGAGCTGTGACTCTGTGTGATGTTGGACTGGTGCTGACATGAAGGGTGACTGACAGGAGTGTGTCACTGCCTGGTTGAGTTAGCTCTGCTCTGCACACTTGTTACTGGGAAGGATCAGAGTCCATGCTGTCACATCGGAACTGAAGCTGTAAATCCTGCATTGTATACTGTGTTGTTGCAGATAAGAGTTTATGATGGAACTTGTGTAAACACTGATTCTGTAGGCTGTGTGTGGAGTGAGGACTCTGTATCACCTCTGACCTCATCGATTTATGCATATCCCACAACTTTATGACCAATTAGGTAAACCCCTTATTTATTATTTATTTGGTTGGTTGGGTGGTTTTGCATGGAAACTTATAATACCAAAAAAGAAAAAAACCAACACCAACAGTGGTTTCCCTAAAGAACTGTGGGTAAGATTTAATGGGATTTAATGGCATCTAGCTGTGAGAAGATGGCAACCAGCAAAAATGTCTCCCGATTAGAATTCCTTCATTGCTCAGGTTTTCTACAGGGAGCCGAATTATCCACAGAGGTCTCCTCCTCTCCAAAACAAACAGACCGTGTCATTTAAACCAGTAAAAACACTGAATAAAGTTGTCTAACGTACAAATCTGTGGTTTTCCAATGCTGTTTGGCATGTCAGAGACGGGCCTCTAGCCTAGCACTTAAGATCTTGACGCTCGGGAGGTTTTTACTAGGAGCCGAAACAGACCTTGTGATTTAAACCAGTAAAAATACTGAATAAAACAATTTAAATTAAAAATCAGTGTTTTTACAATGATGTTTGGCATGTCAGAGACAGGACACAAGCCAAGATCCTGATTCTGTGTGCTCATTTGTTTCCTCTGATAGCTAAATGTGTGCTCACCTTATTTCTGATACAGATGTTCCGAAGGTTTTTACCAAGAGTTGAATTATCCACAGAGGTCCCTTCCTCTTCAACACAAATAGACGTGGTGATTTAAACTAGTAAAAATGTTGAATAAAGCAATTTCACGTTACAAACTAGTGTTTTTCCAATGCTGTTTGGCATGTCGGAGACAGGCCAAGTTGCCTAGCACCTGCTCATGTGTGCTCACTTATTTTCTCAGATAGCTTAATGTGTGCTCACCTTATTTTTGGTCCAGATGTTCAGAAAGTTTTTACCAAGAGCCGAATTATCCACAGAGGTCAACAGACCTTTTGATCTAAACCAGTAAAAACACAGAGTAAAGTAGTTTAACATTCCAAATCAGTGCTTTGCCAAAGCTGTTTGGCATGTCGGAGACAGGTTAAGTAGCCTAGCATCTGCTAATGTGTGCTCACCTTTTTAGTAATAATATTAATAATAAAAACTTGCAAAATGCAACACAAGGTGCTGAACATAAAAGACAGTGAAAACATTTGTGATAGAGAGAAAAAAAGATGATTAAATCATATAATAATAATAAATAACAAAAAAAGAAAGCAGGGATCAGCATGCCCGTGGTCCCCGCCTGCTGCCCGGCACACAATGCACCCGACCCCGATGCCAGTCCCTGCAGGTGGTGGGCCCACAGGGTGGCAGCTTCATGTTATTATTGCCATACTGGGCAAGGTACTCATTCCCCGAATGTGCCGTGTCATCGTGGTCTTTTGAACCGCTCTTAGTCTTGCCCCTCCCCTGGGAACACTTTGTCTTGGGAGACCGTACCAGGGGCTATTACCAGACATGCAAACCCCTCCACTACGTTAAGGTGGAGACTCTTGGAGGGGACATCCAGAGGGAGCTCAGAGTAGAGCTGATAAGGGTCAGTTGAGGTGGTGCGGGCATCTGATCAGGATGCCTCCTGGGCGCCTCCTGTTAGAGGTGTTTCGGGCACATCCCACTGGTAGGAGGCCCCGGGGCAGACCCAGAACACACTGGAGGGATTACATATCTCATCTGGCCTGGGAACACCTTGGGGTCCCCCAGGAGGAGCTGGGAAGTGTTGCTGGGGAGAGGGACATCTGGGGTGCTTTGCTTGGCCTGCTGCCCCCACGACCCTACCCCGGATAAGTGGATGAAAATGGATGGATGTAGCTTACCAATGACTTTCTCAGACACACCAGACAGAAGAGCGTTACAGTAGTCCTGCCGGCTGGAAATAAAAGCATGAATCAACTTTTCTGTATCTGCATGGGAGAGAAACGGTCTGACAATACTCCTCAAGTAGTAAAAGGACACTTAAGTCACGTTTCTAATGTGTTGTTCAAAGTTCAGTTCAGGGTCAGTGATAAGGTTTTCTCCATATTCCTTGGTGTTCAGTGCAAATAATTTTGGGTGGTTGGACAGTTTTTGTCTCTGCTTTTGCTCCAATAACAAGAATTGAGTGCAAGAAGTTCTGATCCATCCACAAACTCATGTCAGATTGTAATCCAACAATAGTCACTTGAATTCACAGACATATATAGTTGCTTTCTCTGATAACTTTAGATCCAGATGTTCAGGAGGTTTTTACCAGGAGCCGAATTATCCGCAGAGGTCTCGTCCACTCCAGAACAAACGGGCCCGGTGATTTAAACCAGTAAAAACACTGAATAAAACAGTTTCTCATTAAAAAGTCCATCAGTACATTTACAGTCGAGCACTACTAGGCCATTCACTGGACTACTGTCCTCATCCCAGTATACAAGCACGGGAGGGGAATCAGTTTATTGACCGATGTTTGACTCCTCTACAATAGATGGCGATATGCCCCCTGTCAGCTTGTTAGTATTGGACCGTTTACCGGTTGACCCATTACGTCACAGACCAAGCAATCGACAAACAAGTTAGCTAACGGTTAGCTTATTTCAGCTGACAGCATGAAATGTTTCTGTCGTCATGTTACTGTTTGCCATGCTGTTACCTGCTTCTTCCGGGGTGGAAACTGTGGAGCGTGTGCAGAGCACCTCGGCTAGTTTGGGTCCGATTGACTGTATACATGCAGGAGTAATTCGACTCACAATTGCATTATTAGTCCAGCTTTGAGAAACTTGATTTAGTACGACTTCAGTCACACTAACATGTATTTTAAAAGTCCAGTTTTAGTCGGACTGACACAATAAATCGATTTTCTCTAATCTCATGTATAACAGTGGTTCCCAACTGGTGGATCACAGTCTAAAAGTGGGTTGCGGGTCCACTCTGAAAGGACCGAAAGTGACTTGGGAAGGTGTTGAGTTCGTAAAAAACACATGTATTTTGAAGTATGGGGAATTTCGGCACACAACATTTATTCTTAAGTGCTGTTTCCTAAAGTAGAACAGACAGCTACTTGAGAGACAGCAAACTAGCTTGACAACATGACGCTGAATATATTAAACTGTGTGGACCTTGAACTAATGACCAAGGAAGACTCTGGATCCAGTGGCCGCACCAGTTGGGAACCACTGATATAAACATACTGAAAGTTTTTCTGACACTCTTGATGCGAAAAGGCTGCTAACTACTGTTTGTTGGCCGACACGTGAATGTGAATGGCTTCCTACCTTCGGAAAAGTTGTGCCACAGGAATAACTTTTTTTGATGGGTCATTGTTCCAAAAACATAATAATTACATAACTTCATACATAACTTTTTTTACACAGCTAATCAATTGTTTTGCAGTAAGGTCATCAAATGTAAAAAGTGGTGCATTTTACCCCGTTCTCCCCTACTTGATGTCTTTGACTGAGCGTTCTGTGTCTCTCTCTCAGCCCAAACAGAAGTTGATAAACTCAGCAGACAGCTGTGTGGACGAGGCTCTCTGCGGCCTCGTGAGGGCCAGTGGGGGCCTGTCTCTGCTGAAGGGCCACAGAGTGGTGCTTCGGTCTGACCTGGACAACCTGAGAGGCAAAGTGGCCCTGCTGTCAGGAGGAGGGTCAGGACACGAGCCGGCACACGGGGGTACAACTTTAACATTTTCTAATGAACTATATTTATCTCAGCTTTAATTTCTCACTCTCCTCCCCCCTCTCTGTCTGTCTACAGGTTATCTCGGGGCAGGTATGCTGTCGGCAGCTGTAGCAGGTGGAGTATTTGCCTCTCCACCTCCTGCCAGCATCCTGGCTGCCATTCTGTGCTTGCACAACGCAGGTAACGTACACCATTTTGCATTATTTGACTTCCTGAACGCTGGTTGTGTATGTAGAGGCATGTACAGTACAAAATGGTGCAAATGTGACACTGTTAAAGGGAATCAATGCGGCAAAAACATCTGGAATAGTAGAACAATAAGCCGCTACTGTAAAGTGAATTTAAATAATAAGTTAACACCACTAAATTGAAGTATATCGACCATCGTCCCTGCACAGGAGCCTCCGGAGTCCTTCTCATTGTCAAGAACTACACCGGTGACCGCCTCAACTTTGGCTTAGCCGCAGAGCAGGCTCGTAACCACGGCGTCACTGTTGACATGGTGATAGTTGCTGAGGACTGTGCCTTTGACCAACCCAGTAAGGCCGGGAGGAGAGGCTTGTGTGGCACCGTCTTCATACACAAGGTAAACAACAACAACAACAACAATGTTCTTACCTCGGAAATAGTAGTGCGACAAAAAAAAGTCTAAACTTGAGGTCCGTTTACTGCACCGTTTTTTTTTTCTTTCAACTTAATGTCATGGTCAGGCTGCTCAGTTATCAGCTATTTCAATGACAGTTGAGCAAACTACATCCTCTGAAGAAGACCATGAGATGTGGTTGAAAGCTCCTCAAAAAGCTAAAGCCATTTTCTGTCTTTCTGCGTCTTCTTGTGAGGGTCCGGTTTTAAACAGAGATCAGTTTTATAAGTCAAGAGGAACAAAGACAAATGTTCAGATTAATAAATGAGAGATAAATGTGAGTTAGTACTGATAACTAAAGATATAAAGCGTTCACTTTTCTGTACTTAGAGTTACAGTAAATAGGTGGGCAGTAATTTTAATTTTAACCTTATTTAATGTCTTTGTCAATCCACACAAGGCAGTTGGCAGTTGAAATGTGACTTTAGCATGTCCCTTGTATTACACACAGCACACACATGCAGTTACAACAGAGGGTTAGCGTGGTAGCTCTTCCTTTTGTATGATAAAAAGTGTTTTTAATATGGAGGATTAAAAATGACAAAAGTATCAATAAATAAAAAATAAATGAATGTAGACAGATAGATAATTAGAGGAATAAATGTGTAAATGAAGAAATAAATGCAGAATTCAGGATGTCCTACCACATTATTTAATACTTTGAAACCTGGGAATAATGAGCAATAAAAGAAGAAATGACTCAAAAAATTGCAAAAAAAATTTGTAAAAAATGACCTCAGAAAATTGCTTAAGAATTATAATAATTCTGTATTATAATTTTAAATATGTAATAAAAATAGTTAATTATAATATAGTGTGTTTCCCCTATTTAAAAAAAAAAATCTAAATCTGTTAAGTTTTTTGCAATTTGTGGGACATTTCTTACCAAGTTTCTCATTGCCATTTTTAATACTCGCAAAAAGTGGCCGAAAGCAGCACAAAAAAAAAGTGATGTTGCAGGTTTCAAAGGGTTAGTGCTGTATTTATTTATGTTTTTTATTTAGTCATTTTTGTATATATTTATTTATTTATTTATTTATTAATTTCTGTTTTTATACATTTATTTATTAGGTCATATTGTATATATTTATATATTTTTAATTTATTTCTGTATTTATTTATACATTTATTTATTTATTTTATTTAGTCATTTTTGGATATTTTTTTTCTTTTTTTATTTATGTATTTATTTATACATTATTTAGTCATTTTTGAATATATTTATGTATATATTTTTAATTTATTTATACATTTATCTATTGATACTTAAGTTATTTTTTTGTCCTTTATATTTTAAAGGCGCACTCCTGCCATTTAGAATTGCATGCAGAATTGTTCCATGAAGCTGGATATCCTGATTTATATTTCCTAGCATTCATCAAGCCCCCACAAAAACCCTAGATCCTACACCTCCCATCATGCAACTCAGCAACACAGACATTGTTCTGTCTGTCAAAGTGTTGCACCTCACGGTACCTGTTGTCTGTCAGCTGGCAGGTGCCTTAGCAGAAGAAGGCTGCTCATTGGACCAGATCGTTTCCAAGGTGACAGAGGTTTTGAAGGGGATCGGTGAGTCTCTGTTTTTACTCGATTAAAGCTTTGCAGAAACACTGGGAGACTTTTCATGGTGCATTTTGTTGATGTGAAGGTACACTGGGGGTGAGTCTGTCTCCGTGCAGCGTTCCAGGCTGCCTGCCGTCTTTCGACCTGCCGCCGGGAGACATGGAGCTGGGACTGGGTGAGGGATGAAGAGATAGCGGAGTATCAAAGAAGGTGGAAATGTTTACGTGTCTGCCGTCCAGCTTGTGTCCCGACCCTCCTTCAGACAGCGTTTTTTTATTTTCGGCCAAACTGCTTCTCAAATATGAGCTAAAATCTCTGTATCAAATCATATCTAAGAACGATGGCGAGAGATGAATGGTAGGAGAGAGCTGTAGAAAAATGTTGACAGGTATTTTTCCATCCTCTTCAGGAATCCACGGTGAACCTGGAATCAAAAGGTCAAAGGTGACTCAGCATAAATCTTCAGTGTTTATGTATATATTTCCATTTATTTCTCTTAGCTTCATTCATGTATGCTGTTCACCAGGTGGCGTCTGCAGATGAGGTGGTGAAGACCATGATCGATCACATGACCAACCCTAACAGCCAGTCACATCTGCCTCTTAAGTCAGGTCCTCTAAGTCTCTATTTATTTTGCTTTTTAATGTCTGCAGCCATCACTTCTTTTGAACTGTGAGGCCTTCTTTTATACAGGAGACAGCGTGGTTGTGTGCGTGAACAACCTCGGAGCTCTGTCTTGTCTGGAAATGGCTGTGGTCACTAGAGCAGCCATCAGCTGTCTGGGTGAGTGTGGACACATTTGCTTGTCTGTGTTCATGTATTAACACGCATAGAAAGAGCCTACTCCCACCACGGGATCTGTAGAGCGAGGCATTAAAGGATAAGTGCAGTATTTTTTAACCTGACCCCGATTTCCCCACGTTTTTGTGTCTAAGTGACGAATGGGAACAACCATTTTGGAAACTGGTCCAGTACTGAGTGAGGGCACCACAAAACAGGCTGCAGTGTAACCACTTGGGGCATTTGTGCAACGGCAATGTCAGTGCCTACTTAAAGTGGGGTTTTTTGCCACTGACAGGCTCAGATTGTTTTTCTAAGTGTCTGACAACATTAGGAAAGGAGCCCTACAGAGATAGGGTTGGTGCGGTGCTGCAGTAATGCGGGCAATGCGCCAGGCTATCATGGTGAAGAGGGAGCTGAACTGGAAGGGGAAGCTTTCGATTTACTGGTCCATCTACGTCCCAACTCTCACGTATGGTCATGAGCTCTGGGTAGTTACCGAAAAAGTGAGATTGTGGATACAAGCCACCAAAATGAGTTTCCTCTGGACTCAGCCTTAGAGATAGGGTAAGGAGTTCGGACATCCAGAGGGAGCTCAGAGTAGAGCCGCTGCTCCTTCGCATTGAAAGGGTTCAGTTGAGGTGGTTTGGCCATCTGATCAGGATCCTCCTGGGTGCCTCCTGTTAGACGTGTTTCGGGCACATCCCATTGGTAGGAGGCCCCGGGGTAGACCCAGAACACACTGGAGGGATTATATATCTCATCTGGCCTGGGAACGTCTTGGGGTCCCCCAGGAGGAGCTGGGAAGCATTGCTGGGGAGAGGGACATTTGCACCCCAGATGTCCCTCTCTTCTGGCCCCAGAAGTGGCCAGGTCGTGGCCACTTCTCCAGGCCCACGACCTGGCCCTGGAGAAGTGGATGAAAATGGATGGATGTTGTCAGACATTTAAAATAACAAGCTGAGCCTGTCAGTGACAAACCAAACACTTGTAGTGGATGTAAGTTGACAGTGCGAACGTGCTGAGTGGTCACATTGTAGCCTGTTCTCGCTCAATATCGGACCAATTTCAAAAAAATGTTGTTCCAATAAGCCGCTCTCTTCTCTCTTTATGGTGAACATCTCTCGAGGATTTCATGGAATGTGACTAGCGGTTTCTACGTTCACAGAGAGTCGCGGTGTAGTGGTTGCCAGGGTGATGTCGGGGTCCTTCATGACATCACTGGAGATGGCAGGAGTGTCACTGACCCTGATGAAGGCCGACCAGGAAACACTGAGACTGTTTGGTGAGCATACACCCAAGGTTTTATTTCTATAATCATTGTACGGCGTAGGCTCTTTCAATGTCTAAAACTCAAGTGGTCCTCACGACAGTAGAAGCACATCAGCAAACACACACACACATATTTAATGTCCTCTATCTATCCCATGTAGATGCTAAAACCAGCGCCCCCGCTTGGCCAAACCTCAGCACTGTGCGTGTTAGCGGACGCAGCTACATGACAGACCCTCCAGCTGTGAGCACACGGCCACAGGACGACACACACTCCCAAGGTTGGTTTCCAGTGTTACTTGCAGTGCTCATATTTCTATATATCATTCTATACGTAATGAGTTTGTGTGACATGAAATATTAGAGGAGCAACGACAAAAGGAAAGATTGTACCCCAGAAGTCTGGAGTTCGCTGTATTGCTCCTGAGTATGACGTGCTGTCAGCCATAACCCTCAGTAAACAATAAATTAATTACAGCAATTAATTGGCTTGAGTATTTCTTTAAGAAAAAAAAAGTCAAAATTCTCTGATTCCAGCTTCTTAAATGCAAATATTTTCTGGTTTCTTCACTCCTCTATGACAGTAAAATCTTTGGATTTCGGACAAAGCAAGACTTTTGAGGACGTCGTATTGGGCTTTGGGAAATATTTTTCACTGTTTTCTATCATTTTAAAGACCAAATAACTTATTGATTAATCAACAAAATAATCAAAAGATTAATGAACAATGAAATTAATCATTAGTCACAGCCATAAAAACAAGATTTTAATTTTTTGTTTTATTTTTTGTTTTAATTGTTCAATGCAGCCACCTTGTGGTCATTAGAGGAACTCCAGCTTCATTAACTTCACTGTCAGCCTTAACATAGTCTCTATATACAGACTCTACATTCAACTACATTCAGTGAATGTAGAGTCTGTAGGCAAACCCCAGAGATCTTGCCTCCAGAAGAAGAGCGGAAGAGCCCTGGTTTCCGGTTGTAGGCTGTTTGTAGTCCGCGTGATATTGACCAGTCACGTTTGAGCCGGCTGCGGTTGTTGCCAGGTTAAACGGTCCGTGCGGTGAACTAACGAGGCGGAACATAACTGGCGTCACTGCAAACTCTGAATCCATCGCAATGGTTCAGCATATTTACTTATATATAAACAGAAGTCGGAAACGGAAATTCGCCTCCTCCGCCCAAATCAAACCGGAATGCCAAAAAATCGGGGGTCTGCCCCAAGAGGCTGTATCGCCGCCCACTGGAAGTCAGACGCCGAATACAGCCGATGGGTTCCGAGAATGGCCTTAACATAAAGCCATTCAAGTTCATGCTTGTTATCTTTCTCATTCAGTTTTCCCTCACTGTGTGGAAAGCATCATGTGTTGTTACTAAAGGACAATGTTGGCAATGTATAAATGAGTAAAGTATGTGTGTTTTTGCCTCTGGCAGGGCCACTGAGTGCTGTGATGCGTAAAGCCTTAGAGAGGATTTGCTCCACACTGTTGGAAAAGCAGGAAGAGCTCAACGCCCTGGACCGAGCTGCAGGCGACGGCGACTGTGGGAACACTCACGCACAGGCTGCTAAAGGTTGGACACAGTGTGTGGTGTCAACAGCTGCACAATAACATGCAAGTGGATGTACAGTACACAATCAGAGAACAGGAGTGATGAAGTATCTTCTAAACACACTTTTTTTAAACTGTGAAAATGCTCATTCAGCCATTCAGGAGTGGCTCAAGGATCACGTGGTCCCTGGTTGCCCCGGGCAACTGTTATCAGTCCTCGATGGATTGGTGCAGGAGAAGATGGGCGGCTCCTCAGGAGCGGTAGGTAGCGATATTTTTGACATAAAGTTGCCACTGAAATCTTACGCCATCTTTACTCACACAAACACACACTCCTCTCTTCATGTGTTTGTCAGCTATACAGTCTGTTCCTGACGGCAGCAGCTGGTCATGTGACTGAGGGGCGGAGCAACGCTGCAGCCTGGGCTAGAGCAATGCATGCTGGGACACAGGCGATGAGGAGGTGTGCATCATCTCTGCATGTACATAAGTGGTGTGCTCTTTCTATGCATGTGTGGTTATGTGGTTTTCTAGTAAACATGGAGGGTTCAAATAAAAAGTAGAAGAACATATTTTAGAAATGATAGATAAAAGAAAATAGAGGCGGAGCTCCAACACATCCTTTCTATATAATTTTGAGGTACTAAAAAATATATTTAAAATATGCCAGTGGTCCTAAAATAAACTATAACTTAATAAAGGCAAATTAAACAATAAGGAGAAAGTGGAGACACAGTCTGTAACGTCCACTGTCTTTCAGATATGGTGGTGCTGACCCTGGAGACAGAACAATGGTACTTTTCGTGCATCATTTCTATTCCGAAAAGTCTCTCATGTCATTTGTCATAATAAATTATTTTCTTGTTTATGTGGCCTCAGCAGCAACAGTCGCTTTGTCTTCATAACTCTGTCTTTGCCTTTCTAGCTGGATGCTTTGTGTCCAGCTGTGGATGAGCTGATGACGCTAACAGCAGCACCACCCGGGGGACAGATGGCTGTACTACAGGCTGCTGTGCAGGTACACTAGCATGCTTCTGTTGTGAGGCTGTCGTGATGACGGGTCAGGGCGTAAATATCACAATACAACATGTCTTTTTTTCTGTTTGAAAAGTACAAAAGTAGGAAGAAAGCAAGCACTCACACATCTTTTAAGTGGTTATGTCATAAGTATGTTCTTGAACGCACAGCTGATAGGTACGTGGTTCTTTTACATGATGAAACAGAACTGCATATTTAGAGGGTGTTACTCTCTAGCAGTTAGGTAATGGTGATAGGCCTACATATCGTCAGAGGACACTATTTTCGCAAGACCATAGACTGTCTATAAAGATGGACGACACGTCTCCACTTTTAGGCATCAATTTGCAAGGACAACCTTAAAACAAATGTGTACTTCAGTGGTGGGAGTGAAACTCTGGAACTCTCTACAGAATGAGTTAAAGCAATGTAAAAACATATTTCAGTTAAAAAAAGTATTTAAAGAGAAAATGATGAAGTTGTATGAGCATTCATAGAAAGAGAAAAATCAGGGTCTTTTTCTATTATTGTCTTGTTTTGTTGTTGTTATTGTCTTGTTTTGTTGCTGTAGATGGGAGTCATCCCCCTAATCTGACATTTAAGTTTGATAAACAGGTGTTGCCTCAGCTGGTTTTATTAGTATTTATGTTTCTTTAAAATTTTACATTTCTTATCAACTTTATAGCCAAAATGATAACTTGAAATACACTAAGGCATGTTGCACTTGGTTACTTCTGTTGTTTAGTTGTGTAGCTATGGATCTTTGTTTAGTATTGTTTTATCTTACTATTATCTCTCTTTGGATGTTCGGCTATGATATGAGTGAGTATCATTACTTGATGATGGCGATGATTATGGATTGCTTTTGCTTTAAAACTTGATGATGGTGGTGGTGATGATGATGATGATGATGATGATGATGACGACAATGATTATGGTTTGCTTTTGCTTTAAAATTTGTTTCAGATTAAGATATTAGGAATGGATGTTTTGGTTTGGTTTTTATTTTTGTTTCTTTTACTTATTATTCTCATGCGCAAACATAAGGTGTTGATAAGTATCAGAGTAATTTTTTGTAAAGGGGGCAGAAAATATAAGATTTTCTTCATTCTGCCTCCCTTTCGTCATGGCTGTGTAAACTATATGGATATGAAGATGTTAAGGAAAAAAAAAAAAGGTTTTGTTATTGGAACACATTCATGAACGAAATAAACTTTGAACTTGAACTTGAACTTGAACTTACGCGGGATTTATACATCTGCCTTGAATTGACGCCATACCTACGGTGTAGACTCTGCGTCAACACATAGATGTAACTACATGTTAATGCAACGCAGACCTCCTGTCTGTTTCTGTAAGTTGAAACCATTTCCCTCAGTGGAAACAAAGCTTTTATTTACTTTAATTTCACAGATAAGAAACAATAAATTGTGAAGACAATAAAGCCTCCACAAAAATAGCATTTTAAGTCTTGTGTGTGATTTATCCTGGCTTCATATGAGCAGAGGAAATCTCCGCTAGTTGCTAGGCTAATTTATACAATGTAAAATGCCATAGGCTTGTGCTAATAACGTTAGCATGTTGTTTGTTTGGAAAACGTGTTTAGTATATGACAGTTGTTTTGTCGGTGAACCTTGTGAGTTGTAATGGAGCCGAATTTTGTAATGTTACCTTTGTTAATTGGTGCTGTTGTCCCTGGCTTTATAAAATTTAAAATGCCATAAAGGACATTATGGACTGAAGAGATTTAAATGTCAGACTTAAATAGATTTTCCTGGTCAACAACTGGTAACTACCCAAAAATGGAAACCCTGAGTTAATCGGCGCAGATGATAAAGCTGCCTGCGTGTGTGTATTTGAGAGAGAAAGATGGGAAGAGAAGGTGGAAGGTGGACTATTGCATATTGTTCCTGTAAGTTATTAACAAATTACTCGGACCACTGCTTTGTCACTTACTGACCTGCCCGCCCGAAACGTGAGATATTTTTAACAAGCTTACCAGAACCGCCTGGAGGATCTGTGACTTTCAATCACGTTACAAATCCCCATCACTAACTGCCTACAGTGCCACCTGGTGGTGATGTGGCTGTACTACAGATGACTACTGATTTTCTACATCCGTTGTGTTTTGGTGCACAGACAAAAAGTACAGAACAGGTTAACATGTTGATTAATGTGTTCATCTATGCCATACATGCCTTATCTTTTGCCATCTTTCTCTATCTCTTCCTAGAAAGCGGCCTTGGGTGCAGAGTCGACCCGTAACCTCACAGCGAAGGCAGGGCGAGCCAGCTACATCGCAGCAGAGCGGGTCAATCTGCCTGACCCGGGTGCCGTCGCTGTTGCCGCCATCCTTAAAGCCGTGCTGGAGTCGCTGGAAGGGCAGAAGTAATTCAGCAAAAAGTGTCAGGGCAGATTATTATTACTGTCACCAGACTAATGGTATTGAAAAATGAAAAACTGTGATTTTGACTTCTTTAAAACAAATTTCTAAAAGTAATTTTCAATATCGTACATAAAATAAAATAACAATGACAAGGTCAGGGAAGACAAACTCTATCTAAGAGCTGTCAGTATACTTTGGAAAACTATTAGCAATAATGTAAAGTATACTCAAGATTTACAAAATGGTCAGAAACAGGGAAAAAAACACCAGTATGGTCCTTTAAATTAGATTATAAAGGATAGAAATACTGTAAATTCAATCACAGTTTAGCAAGACATGAATGGATAAGTGTTATTACTGACTGAAATTATTATTTAGTCCTCTTGGAGCTGGAGAGTTTTGTATATGTCAGTATTTTAACATTCCTTGTGAGCACTAATGACACCTTGACTGAACACCTTTCGAGTGAGTTTTCAAATGAAAGGAGCACTCTTACAGACGAGGGACTTGAAAGGGACAAATTTAAAAAACAATTGTCAAAAGTGAAGCAACAGAGTCCACTTCACCGGCTAAGGGACCTGTTAGCCTGCGATTAAGGGAGTGCTTGGAAGCTGTCAGTCTGGAACCAAGGGAGGTGTTAGCTTGGGATGAAGGGGGGCATTAGCTTGGGGCTAAGGAAGGGTTTAGCCTGGGCCTAAGGAAGCTGTTAGCCTGGGATCAAGGGACCTGTTAGCCTGCGATGAAGGGAACTCTTAGCAGGGGGCTAAAGGAGCGGTTAACCAGGGGCTAAGGCAGGTGCTAGTCTGAAACTAAGGGAGCTCTTAGCTGGGGGCTAAGGAAGCTGTCAGTTTGAAACCAAGGGAAATGTTAGCTTGGGATGAAGGGGGCCATTAGCTGGTGCTGAAAGCCTGGGGCTAAGGGAGCTCTTAGCCAGTGGCTAAGGAAGCTGTCAGTCTGGAACCAATGGAAATGTTAGCTTTGGGCTAAGGAAGCCATTAGCTGGTGCTAAGAAAGCTGTTAGCCTGGGACCAAGGGACCTGTTAGCTTGCAATTAAGGGAGCTCTAAACTGGGGGCTAAGGCAGGTGTTAGTCTGGAGCGAAAAGAGGTGTTAGCTTGGGATGAAGGGGGGCATTAGCCTGGGTCTAAGAAAGCTGTTAGCCTGGGACCAAGGGACCTGTTAGCGTGCGACTAAGGGAACTTTTAGCAAAGGGCTAAGGGAGGTGTTAGTCTGGAGCAAAGGGAGGTGTTAGCTTAGGACGCAGGGGGCCATTAGCCTGTGACTAAGAGAACTGAGCCTGGAGCTAATGGAGCTCTTAGCTGGGGCTAAGGGAGCTGTTAACCTTGGGCTAATGGAGCTGTCTTAGTTTGCAACTAAGGGAGCTCTTAGCAAGGGGCTAAGAAACCTTTCACATTGACACAATCCTGCCACATTCCAAAGTGGGCTAACCCTGACTTTAGCCTGGTCCTGCTCCGAAACAGGCTTAGCCTCAAGTTTTGCCTGTCTGAAACTGATTTAATGGACTTTTTGTCACGTTTTTGTTGTCCAATTACATGACTTCTTTGTTACGTCATCAGCACGAGTATGCTTTAGGTTTACATTGTAACCATGGTATATACTGCTAATTGAAACTGTAGGTACCTAGCAAGCTAGCTAGCTTAGAGCATCAACATTAACAGTAACATCTTCTTTTCAGATTTTCCTTTCTCTGCTCTTCTCTCTCTTTTTGTCCCAAGTCCTAAACTCTGAGTTTCGAGTCCCAAACAAGTCATAAAGGGCTCTTCACCAAATTTAATGCCAAAATATAATAATGTTTTTTTCATGTCAAAACCGTTTTTAAGTAAAATACTTTAAAATCTTTGGGCCTGGGGGAAGGTATCAAGTATTATCAAATCCAATAGCTCAAGTCTAAGTGAGGTCACGAGCTGCAGATCTTTTTTGTTTGTTTGTAGAGTCTAAGGTCATCAAATTTAGAACTTGAGTTTGACTCATGTCCAAGTCATGTCACTCGGGTCCACACCTCTGGTTTACAGTGTGTGTGTATGTGTGTGAAAAGCCGGAGGAATTCTCTACATCTCTATTCGCTATAGCCCACATTTCCCATAATACAACTTGATAGCGTGTTTCATTAGACCCTCCCTGTCTGGTAAACACCCACACTGTTCAAACTGCTAGTTTCCTTTCTCCTCAAGATGAACAAACTGATCTCTAGGTGTAAAAAGTGTGCTCCTTCAAGACCGTTATAATCAGATTCATATGATTAATCGTTCATGTTCCACTGTGTAGAAATGCTGTACATGGATTCAACTGCACTTCTCTGATACAACTGTATTAATTATAATAAAATAACTGTTACACTGTGTATAACAGTATATGGTACACTAACAAAGTGTGTGTCTGTGTGTGTGTTTTTACAGAAGTGAGATAAATGTGTGTATTTAACTCACTATCAATTGTTCAGACATGGGACTTTCTGTCTTGGGTTACAATGAAAAACATGCACAGATTAAAATCTTTTTCTTCTTTCTTCTTCTCTTCCTTTTTAATATTCATTTCTTTCTGTCTCTCGACCACCAAGCCTGCGCCAACTTCCTGACACACATCTCACACGTTCACACACACGCACAGCGCTGCTTTTTTAGACTTTGAACACACCCACAAGTTCACCCACATTATAAACCTGCTGCGTTAAGCACTTGCTTTCAGTTTTAGCAACACCGCTGTGCACAGACACCAGCAAAAGGTAATTCAATTCTTGTTGCAATGTGTGCATTTGTGTGCATTTATTTGTGTTCCCAGTGATTTAATCAACAAAAGGCTTCCCAACTGTTATGCTGAGGTATGATGAAAGGCAGTAGAGCTTTCACTTTGGTAAGAGTGTCAGTGAAGGCAGAATCTCTGAAACCTGATTTGGTTTTGTAACGTACCATTCATTTGATCATTGTTTTAAAATTGTAATAATTCACACGTTAGTTTAGAAGTGACATATTTTTAACATAGGATGCTCACTAAAACTATTTAATATAGTGTCAAAAGTTAAAAGTTTATAGGTAATTTTCTCTCTTATCCTGTTAAAAAAAATTAGCGTAAATTGTATTTTTTAAAATTAATTTTTACTTACATTGTTGTATCACTATTACCATCTCTCTATTTTATTTCATTTTCTCTCTGTGTATTTATAATTAAAAATAATAATAATCATAATTATAATGATGTTAACTTATTATTATTATTATTATTATTATTATCATTATTATGCTAAAGAAAAATGTAAATAAAATAGATGGTTATAGTGATATAGAAAAATGTAATAAAAATAAAATAAAATAAGATAAAATTGAGCAGTAGTTATTACTGAGGTGGCAGCTTTTTACTGCAAACTACCACCTCAGTAATAAACATATCGTTATATTAATACCTCTTTAATGAGACCTCTATCTTATAAACACAAACACATCCCTCGCTGCATGTGAAACAGTCAGTGTAGACGTTGTGTTGTTACAGATTTAAGTTCAGACATGAAGGAACACGTGTGTATGTGCGCTGTAGGTTAGTGTTTATCTCTCCAATGGGAGCTGGTGAACTTTGGCACCCACTGTGTTTTTCTGAGGAAACTCTGTATGAAGAGCTGTTGATTCAGGCTGCAACACACACACACACACACACACACATGTAGAGCCCACAGATTCACTGTTCTCGTCTTTTGTAACTTCACCGTTACAGTGAGATTTCCATAACAAAGCAGCTGCAGGTTTTTCTTGGCAACAGTTTTGTAGTTTTTAGATTCGGTGTAATAAATGATAGTTTGGTGACGTCCCCTGTGTCGCCCTCCTACAGTCGACTGTGTGAAGCAGACGGTGAACGGTCATGGGGTGAGGGGTCTCTACAGAGGGCTGAGCTCGCTGCTGTACGGCTCTATACCTAAGGCAGCTGTCAGGTACTGCAGCCTCACACACCTGAGCACACACACACTTTGTGAATGTATGAACAGTTTACATGTCTTCATATCCCACATTAGCTCCAGCTTCTCTAATGTGACGGTTTGCTGCTTCTCTGTTTTCATATCATTGTAAAATAAATATCTGTGGGTTTTGGTCGTTAGTTGGACAAAATAAGCGATTTTTAAAACCGTATCATTTCATATTTATTTTAAACGTAAAAAAATAGACATGAACAGACAGAATGAAAGTAGTATTCACAAATAATGAAAAGCAGTTGTAGGTATAAAGTTAGTTTGATTTACACATTTGATAAGGAGTGTGAGGAAGTATAAATGTATTATATCCCACCTCTTCTTCATCAGTCACTGACTGAAATGAAACAGACAGCTTCCTCATGTAGATAAACCTACCTCTAAATATACCATTGTTACTACCTTTTAAATTTGTCACACAAAAAATAACCCATATACATGGAAGCGTATTGCATTCCCTTGACAAATAAAAAAAGCCCTGTTTTTCTGAGTAATTTTTTCCCTGTTTTTTGTGGCAATTTGTTTCTGTTTTTTTTTTTGNAGACTTTATTTTTGTTATCATAATAAGGTATTTACCTATTTATATTTACTGGGCAGTGAAACTGAAGTATAGAATTATATACGCCCTAAAAAATTCAATGAACACAACTATTTAAAAATTAAAAATAAGTTAAAGTGAGTTGTAAAAAAATAAATACATAAAAATATATAAATATGGTAATGGTACCATTGAGAAAGCAAATATCTATGGAAAAGAACAAATGTAATTTTGCAGGTTTTTACTAGAAGAAAATCAAATTTAAATCCTTATTAGTTGTGATAAGGACAGCTGTACATTGTTAATTTATAGCATGAGATGTCAACCAGATGGTAAAATGGACGTCATCAGGTCAGGTGGTTTATAATAGTAATATTAAATAGTAACAGGACGGTTTCAGTGGTTCAGTATAGAGCTGTGGTTTTTAAACTTTTCACGGCCAAGGCACAACTTTATTTATATCTGTACACTATAACTTTTATAACATGCGTTATCACTACATATGATGACAAAAATAAGACAGGTAGCTTTCTTGAAACTCTCTACTCTTGCTCCGTACAATAAAGCGATCCATTGTCCCACTCAAGGCTTTCTCACACACTTATAATTCCCACATGCAAACGGCGACAAATATGTTCCCCCGTGAAGGTTTTTCAATTCAATTACATTTTTTAGCTAGTTTGCCTCTTCATTAGGAAATGGGTGCCGTAACATACTGATAAATTAAAAATACATTCATGACTCTTTGTACAGGCCCAGTTGAATATTGCAATAATAATGTGCAACTTTGAATGTGTTCACGTAAAAGTTGTGGAAAATAAAAAGAAAATGTTGGCGTTGTACATTTCTGCAGAGCAAAGGCATGTTACATTTGTGCGTTTCATACGTATCGTAGCGTATGAGCTGACTTTTTTATCAGGAGGTGGCGCGGTAGTGGATGGCGGGGAGACGCTGGGAGACTGTTGGTGATCTATTGGTGTTTTTCCAGCGGAGATGGCACCACAAAAAGCGGGTATTTTAAGCCAAAACATGATCTTTTCCGAACCATGATCAAGGGGTTTAGCTAGTTTCAAGATTTCTGCTACATAATAAGGTACATATGTCACACAACAGGTCACCAGTTGCATCTGTTAATCTGTTTCATGCTGGATGAACTTTTGTTTTTGTCATCTCGGTCACGGGCTAACAGCTGTTTAAGAGCAGGGCAAAGGGCTGCTTGCAGCTGTTTGGCATCACGGTGACCCTGTAGTTAGTGGCACGTACTGTAATTTAGTCAGAGGTCTGACCTCTAAAACAGCAGATGGTTAGTGTGTTTCCACAGCTCTGAATCTAATCATGTAGTCTGGTTTGAGAATTCATGAATCATTTACTGTCAGATGAGATTTTCTTGCTTCATCATGGTACGGTGCCAGCTCTGTGACCTGTTTTGGCTCATGCTGGTTATAAATACCGGTTTAAAGTGTAACACTCTAAGACGCACAGTGCATACACCCTGCGCAGCCCTCGCCACGCCATTATTTAGCATGTTGTTCTCTTTTTCCTCACAGTCGTTCAAACAGGAAATGTTTGCTGTCATGGTTTTACTCAGCCACCTGTTAGCTAGAAAAATAACCAAATCAAGGCGCCGGTTGCCACGGTGACGACACATCCACAATGCCAGGAAGCTATTGTCTTACTGCTGATCTGTCGGATTTCTGCATCCACTGCTCATATTGCTCTCTCTTGAAGTGCGTGCAGACGTGACTGCGTTTCAAGTTTTTAAAGGGTCTTTTTAAATGGAGCTGTAGAAACAAGTGTGTGTTTATGTGTCTCAGATGGAGTTCGCCTGCAGTCATGTTGTGTGTAACTGGAGGCCCGGTGGAGCAGGTGAGTGCAGTGAAGATAATTTGCCGTCTGTTCCACAAACATTGGAATAGTTTTTCTCTATTACACTTTCCAACTACGCTGAGATTTTTTTCATTTGCGTTGATCTTATCTGAGGACGTATGCCTGTTTTCAAAATTCATTCATGCCATTCTTACGAGCTAAGACAGTCAAAGGTTTCAGTAACCACGAACAACTCTCCCAAATCCAAAAACTAGAGTGCTAAAACCAATTTGTGATGTCATGTGGTAAAAACTGTAGCTGCTCCACAGACAGTGTGAGCACCCAGGGGAGTGTTCTGCAATACACTGAAAATCTTAATTTAGGCAGTGTTCCTCTTTATTGTGGTTTTTACAAACGAGTGATAATAAGTGATGTTGAGATGAACTATCTCTCATTCATCCAACTCAGGGAACTCTGAGATTGTTGAAGTAAAGGCAAACACAATCAAAGAGTCAAATGCATCCATTAATCGCACATTTTTTATCTGTTCTAAATGTACCTTAAAGGGATATTTTTCAAGGTTCTAATACCCTTGTCAACTGGCAGTGGAAAAATATGCTTGCTTTATGCAGATGTACACCGATCAGCCAAAAATATTAAAACCACTGACAGGTGAAGCAAACATTGCTCATCTTGTTACAATGCAATGTTCTGCTAGGAAACCTTGGGGTCCTAGCATTCATGTGGATGCCACTTGACATGCACCACCCACTTAAACACCACTACGGACCAAGCAAACCCCCTCATGGCAACGTCATCCCATGGGAGTAGCCTCCCCCCAGCAGGACAATGTGTCATGCCAGACCACAAAAACTGCTCAGGAATGGCCCAAGGAGCATGACCAAGAGCTCAAGGCCTTGACCTGGCCCCCATATTCCCCAGATCTAAATCTGATCGAGAATCCTTGGGACATGCTGGTGCGTCATCTCGCAACCCCCAGGACTCTAAGGATCTGCGGTGAAGACCCTGGTGCCAGACACCACGGGGCATTCCCAGACTTCCTGGGTCCATCGTAGGCTTGTAATGATACCAGAATTTCAGTAGTCGATACCAATACCAGTGAATTTCCACGATTCTCAGTACTCATTCGATACCACGATAAAAATCAAAAAACAGAAATTGAGGGGGGCCGCCTTTTAGCAAAGACGATGGAGAACAGGTGTTCTTCTTCGGCGCTCGTCCTCGGCACAGACTGACGCACGTATACTGTCCCTGTCAGTTCCAACAGGAATCGACACGGCCCGCTGAGGGCAAAGTTGTATCCAGTATTTACGGTACTGAAAAAAACAGGTACCCAAGTTTTTTTTGCGTGTTGGTAGACTTGGTACCAAAGTATCAGTTCTCATGACAACCCTAGTCCATACTTTGACATGTCAGAGCTATGTCCAATCCGTAGAGGCCCCAGTGTTGATGGGCAGTACATCTGGGGTATTGGCACGTCCAGCAGATGCTCAGTCGAATTGGGATCTGGGATATTTGGAGGCCAGGTCGGTGCCTTGAATCTTTGTCATGTTCCTTGGGTCATTTCTGAGCAGTTTTTGTGGTGTGACATGGTGTATTGTCCTGCTGGTGGGCAACTGCCATCTGGGAGTGTTGTTGCCATGAGGGGGTTTGCTTGGTCTGCAACCGTGTTTGGGTGGGTGAAGCGCGTCAAGTAGCATCCACATATATTCCAGGACCAAAGGTTTCCCAGTTGAACATTGCATTGTAACAAGATAATCGATGTTACTCACTTCGCCTGTCAGTAGTTTTAACGCTTTGGCTGATCAGCGTAATATATATATGACATCACAAACTGGAGTTTTAGCACTCTAGTTTTTGGATTTGGGAGAGTTGTTAATGATATTTTTGGACTGCCTTAGATCATAAGAATGACATGTATGAGTTTTGAAAAAAGGCAATTTGTTCCATTTAAATCATTCTAGCTTCATTTAGCTTTTTAGCGCCGTAAATGTGTCTCAATGAACTTATTTTCCCAGCATCCACAGGTGCTTCTCTGATAGAGCTCCAGCGTGACGACACAGCAACTGTTAAAGAGCAAGAAGGTAATTTTCTGTCTCTTTCACAGATTTGCACAAAAACACACACATTCATAAAGGTCAATGCATCTACACTGCTGTTTTTCTGTTTCACATTCTCAAGAGTATTGCAGTGAAATAACAGGAAAGCATATTAAGCAGAAACGTTTGTGTGTGTGTGTGTGTGTGTGTGTGTGTGTGTGTGTGTGTGTGGGATGCTTGCAACTGCAAGAGACAAAGACAGAGTGTAGGAGATGTGCAGATAATAACTCAACAAGGGAAAGTCCACACAGAGCACACAGCTGTCAGATAAAGTTAATCATACAACAACAAAACTTAGTTAATCTCATCACTGGAAAGAACAAACAAACAAACAACAACAAGAAAACCATCAGTTTCTGTCTGTTTTGTACATCCATCCACAGTAAGCCAGTCTTTCTCAGAACAAAAACACGGTTCAGGTGGATGAAACAACGCTTGTACGCTGCAGTGTGGGCGCTGAATATGGTTTAATACAGTGGTGGAAGAAGTATTATATTGTTTACTGAAGTAGAAGTACGAATACCACAGGCTAGGAATACTCTCGAGTCCTGAATTTAAAGGTCCAGTGTATACGATTTAATGGCATCTAGTGGTGAGGCTGCAGATCTGAAATTTCTCTGGTCCACGAAAATGTGAATGGCCCCATCTAGAGCAATTTGTCTGTTCTGGGATACTGTGGAAAAACATGGCGGACTCGGTGGAAGACACGCCAGGCCCCCAGGAAAGCAGCTCAGTCTTGTTTCCAAATTTCCCCTACGGTAACTCGTAGTATTGCAGCCCAAAAAACATTTTCCCTACAGACTACTAACATAAAAGAGACGTCTGTAAATGTGTTGACAGGACACCTCAAACTGCAAACAAGGTCATTTATGACACTTTCTATTATGAATGTTTCCGATCCGTAGAGGTCCCAATGTGAATGGGTAGTACCTCTGGGGTATTGGCATGTCCAACAGATGCTCAGTCAAACTGGGATCTGGGGTATTTTGAGGCCAGGTTGATGCCTTGAATCTTTCATCCATGAAGGTTTTATATTTGTAAAATTTTCCTCAAACCAAGAAAAACAATCTAAAAATCTGTGATGCCACCATGATGGAAAGTCTACGAACCAAGCAGGACCTCGCAGGTGCCATCTTGGGGCTCAGTTATCTGGTTGTTATCATGCATCTCTGAGCAGGCCCCTCGGGATTTGCGCCACTGGTGACGGCACAGTTTGACATGGCTTGTGCCAAAATTCATTATCTTGAAATATATTTGATATCGTCAGTGTGTTCATTTTTAAAATGCAGCTTAAAGGGATGGTTTGGATCTTACCAAACCATCCCTACAGTAGATGTCTGTCAGTACTTTGGAGAAGCAGACAGGGTTACCGCCACTGAAGCTAAGCTATGCTGTGGACAGGGGCATCAGCAAAATGTATTTTGGCCACTTTTAAAATCCATATCAGTTTAAGTTCACGCTATATGTCAACCATTTTCACTGCTTTACCTTTTAGTCAAACGGCAATTTCCACGGAGGAACTGAAGCTATTAAATCACACTCTTCAAAGCCAGACTCCATTGTGGAAGACAGTAATTTAACATCTATAAACACAGGAGCTGTCACGCCATGACGTCCTTACTCTAACCTCCCTGTGTAATCAATCTACTGTTTATTTATTTATTTTAGTTATCTGACAGTAATTAGTATCTAGATCCTAAAATGTTGAGGCAGAGGGAACTGTCTGTAGCTCTTGAGGGTGAGAGGCTGTCAGCAGATAAACAGAGATCTGTGTGGGTACATGAGATCCTAAAAAAGAGGGTGGGTCGGGGCGTCAGTGGTTTGGTGGATGGAGCGGGCGCCCCATGCGCAGGCCTGTTGCCGCGGCGGCCCGGGTTCGGCTCCGGCCTGTGGCCCTTTGCTGCATGTCGTTCCCTCTCTCTCTCTCCCCCTTCACACTTGACTTTCCTGTCAATTAAAGGCAAAAATGCCCCAAAAAATATCTTTAAAAAAACAAAGGAGAGGGTGGGTCAAGGGGAGTACCACCAGTTGGTCCCGGAGCTTCTCCTCCTTGATGGACGATGGACGACTCGGGGGCAGTTTGACAACTCGCTGTCTATCGTCGGGCCGTATAGAGTGTGCCAGTAAACCCGGAACTCCGTTAGCGCTTTTAGCACTTCCGGTTCTCTCGTCTAAAAGTCAATACGTTTTTTGAATGGGATTTTGGTAAAATGCCTCAAATAAGGTCTGTGGTTAACAAAAGCTTAAGCGAGTTTCATGTTTTGTTCTACGACATAAAACACGTCAGTAAATACCCTACTTGTGAATTTTGAAGCTTTTACGTGTCGTAAAAAAGCCGGTTGCTAACAAGTTGCTCAATACGACTACAAACCCTGTCAGGGACATTAAACGTCATCACCCCCGAACAGGCGAGAGTGCTGGCAGTCCACCATTACAGCTTCTTATTTAGCTTAAACAGTCCGATTTCCCCATTATACAATGATTTTAAAATAAAGCGGCCGAAATCAGTTGAAAGCTTAGTGGCGGTGACGTCAAGAGTCATGCGACCGTGGAGTAGTCATGTAGTCAGTTAAAGCCTAACGTTAGCTTTTTATTTCTGGCGATCGCATTTAAGCTTCAAATGCGGTATGAAAGGTGATCATATGTGAAGATTATCTAACTGAACAAAACCTGTAAGTATCATAAACTTGTGTTAGCCACAGAGCTTATTTTCTGACATAATCCAAAACGCAATGCAAAAATCACATTCACTTTCTCTTCAGGGAACCAGCGCGATGCTAAACTTCCGGGTTTTGACGTCAGCCCTGGCACACTCTATAGCTCTGGATATCCAGCAACCACTACCACCAGTTTCTCCGCCATTGTTTACCAACTGTAAACTTGTTGTTGTGACCACCACAGAAGGCCCGCCTCTCAAATCATCCAATTGGACAATGGGAAAAAAGATGACGAAAAAAGACATGACATGGGGCGCTTTTCCGCTTTAAGATGACGCTTTTTCAACGGGACTTCAGAGCACTCCGGCAAAAACACCAGGCGCCGAAAGCGCAGAAACACGAGGCGGGTAGCAACGCAAAACCGCAAGCAAAAAGCTTAATTCTCATAACAATCAATTACGAAAAGCCGCCTCCAGCTGCTGAAACACTTTCTCTGTGATCAGGACCTAACTGATCGAGACTGGTGGACCAGCAGCTCCTGTTTTCAGCGAGCTAAAATCAGTTTTGTCAATGGAGTCTGGTGGCTTTGACGAGAGTAGAGATAGGAAACTGAAGCCAGCCCTATAAGAAAGGTAAAGCAATGGAAATATTCTCAATATAGCACACAATTAAACTCCTACTGATGTTTTAACGTGGCTGAAATGCTTGGTTTTCATGGCAGTATTCCTGTCTGCTTCTCCAAACTGGGTGCCAACCACCTTCTAGCTACAGTATGGATAAGTATGCAGCTTCACTTCAGAAAATCCAAACTATCCCTTTAAACTGAATTATAATAAACCAGGCCCTCTGTGCGTGCCTAATTATGAATGCTAGGCTATGATTTTACAATCGCTGTTCAGTAGAAGTGTTGAGCAAATGGTTTTATCTTCAAATGAATTCATATTGGAGTCAAAAGACAAAGTTCTTAATCTCTTTTCTGTCTCACGGTCCAGTTCCTCCACCGCTGCCGCCTCGTCGTTTCAGAAGACCTCGGCCTACTTCTCTCCCTTTCCCCCCTCCTCCTATCATTCAGCCTACACCGGTTCCTCGCTCCCTCCCCCCTCCCATCCCACCCAGAGGTGAGTTCTGTTTGCTCTAACCTCCTCTAACTCTCCCTGAGTAAATCATAAATGCTTCAAAGTTCTATTTACTGTTTGCCTTTTTCATTCCTTTGTCACCTTTCATCAGTCGACAGGGAAGGAGGAAGCAGGCTGGAGGCCAACGTCAACGTCGTCTCGCTCAGTATCGGAAAACTGGTCGACATCAGCCAAGGTCAGAGGACACACACACATGCACACATGCACACACACCTATACCACTGTTTTTTGTCATACCTCTTTTTGTCCTTCTCTAAGCAGCCTCAGGCCAGGAGAGTTTTCAGAGCCCAGTGGTTTGTGGGAAATGTAGTGCTGCCTTGTCATGTCTGAGTTCTATCCAGGGGAACGTGAGTGAAAAAAATATTTTACTCATTCACTTCTGCTGTTATATAGTTTCTCTAAATCCTAACCTCAGTGTCATGTGCGTTTTTATTTACTCTACACAGTCGTTTCTTTCTCTTGAGATATGATTGATTTCTCTTATCAGTGCAACAAAAGTGGTTGAAACAAACGACCACTAAGATTAAACAAAAGATAAAACGCCCTCTCTTCTCTTCCTGTTGTTCAGGTTTGGGTGTGCGAGTTCTGCGGGTGTGAAAACAGTGTAAGCAACAGCATGAAGAGAGTGTGTGTTGGTCAGCGCAGGGGTGTACATAGCGACGACCTCTACCTGCCGAGTCAGAGCGACGACGACTACCAGAACTTGGAGGACACGCTGGTGGTGTTCTGTGTGGACATTTCTGGCAGCATGATTGTCACTACGGAGGTGTGTATGTGTGTGTATGTGTGTGTGTGTGTGTGTGTGTGTGTGTGTGTGTGACATCTTCAAATCCCTTACTTAAGCAAAAGTACAAATGCATTCATACAGTTTTCAGATAAAACTATAAGATAAAAGGGTAGGATCTACGTCGACATTGAGCCAAAGCTGTAGCTATAGCGTCAATTCAACGCAGAAGTATAAATTCCCTATTAGCAGTAACAGCCAACATGGCTAACTAGCAGCGTTGGGCAGCAGCGTCACTACAAGTAGCAACATTACTGACTTAAATACATTTTTCAGTAGCGTAATGGTGACGTCACTAAGTTAGTAAATTGGCCGAGTAGTGCGGTAGCGTCCACAACAGCTCTTTTCCAGGAGCAGCTCTTTTTCTTTGTGGAGGTCTGGATAAACGTAAGGATAATAAAACTGACGCCAGCGCCACACCGAGGCATGTAGACAAGGGAAGACCCGCCCGACTCTGCCTCTGATTGGCTACATTACACTTCTTGACGCGTCTCTCATGTGTATCGCCCATAGACTGTTTATATTTAGTGGACAGGACGTGTTCATGTTCTAATGTCCCCAAAAATGAAAAGCTTTCACTTAGCTTTGTTATTTTTGTTTCTATTACTGTCTTTTATTTATTCTGGTTTTTCTGAGACACTGATTTGACATAAAGTAAAAAAAAAAAAAAAAAAAGAGCCCGGTCTCACTCTGAAGTCATCGAAATTGCGTGCGCAGTGACTTTCGGAGTCAGAACCCAACGGAAAATGGCGTCCTTTAAAGGGATAGTGCACCCAAAAAAGAAAATTCAGCCATTATCTACTCACCCATATGCCGAGGGAGGATCAGGGAAGATCAAGTTTTAGAGTCCTCACATCCCTTGGGGAGATCGGCGGGGGGAGCGGCTAGCACACCTAATGGCTGACGGCGCCCCAGACTTACGTCCAAGAACACAAAATTGAATCCACATAGTATCTCCAACATGCTCATCCGTAGTGATCCAAGTGTCCTGAAGCTCCGACATAAAAAGTTGTTTCGAAAAACGTCATTTGAACCGATCACTGTAGCCTGTAGCTCTGACTGCTTCTCTGTGCTCCGCCCTCACGTGTGTGCGCTCAGGGTGATCGGTGATGCACAGTCTCTGAAGAGAAGCAGTCTCGTCAGTACTGATGTCCAGATTCTCAAGTGCAGGCATCGCCAATTCCCAGTCTGAGCAGCAAAGACTTTCCTCACCCGTTGGCATTGCTTTGCATCTGAAACAACTACACCACCAGGTTTCGAGTGCTCGACTCCAGTATTCTGCAGCTGGCTGAGGGTTAGGCTCATGAGCTGCGGCGGCTGCTTCGTCCAGTAGCCTGAGTTACGTGCGTATACTCGGGCTCAAACAAATACGGCTCAACAAAGAAATGCTGTTCCTCCTCAGTTTCAAAGTCTTCAGACATGTTGGGCTGTCCTTTGCTAAAAGACCGTAGTGCAAATTATCTTTTAGCTCTGTGGTTACTGTTGTCTTGGTGGTGCACGTGTCACGTGATGTAAACATGGGTGAGCAAAGCTCATGCTTTCCCTGGTCTCGCACAAGCGCGCACACGTGAGCGCAGAGCACAGAGAAGCAGTCAGAGCTACAGGCTACAGTGAGGCTAAAAACAGAGTTCATATGACGCTGCAGCACACTTGGATCACTACGGATGAGCAATATGGAGATACTTAGTGGTTTCAATTTTGTGTTCTTGGACGTTAGTCTGGGGCACTGTCAGCCATTAGGTGTGCTAGCCGCTCCCCCCTTGGATCTCCGCAAGTGTTGTGAGGACTCTAAAACTTCACCAGGGCCTCCGTCGGCATATGGGTGAGTAGATAACGGCTGAATTTTCATTTTTGGGTGCACTATCCCTTTAATGTCAGCATGATTCACGGATGGTTGCTGTTATAGTTTAAAAGCGCCCGACGGGGTCAGGGGGAGACGCGGCAGGACATGGACAAAAGTGAAAGGGATAGTGCACCCAAAAATGAAAATTCAGCCATTATCTACTCACCCATATACTGATGGAGGCCCTGGTGAAGTTTTAGAGTCCTCACAACACAACTCCACCTAATGGAGGTTTACTGCGCCCCAGATTCAAAAGTCCAAAAACACATAATTGAAACCACAAAATATCTCCATACTGCTCGTCCGTAGTGATCCAAGTGTCCTGAAGCCCTGACATAAAAAGTTGTTTGGATAAACGTCATCTGAACTCTGTTTTTAGCCTCACTGTAGCCTGTAGCTCTGACTGCCCCTCTGTGCACCGCGCTCGCGTGTGTGCGCTTGCGCGAGACCGTGAGACATGGGCACCGCATTCATGTCTATGGAGATATTTTGTGGTTTCAATTATGTGTTTTTGGACGTTTGAATCTGGGGCGCCGTAAGCCTCCATTAGGTGGAGTTGTGTTGCTACCTCCTCTCCCCTTGGATCTCCGCAAGTGTTGTGAGGACTCTAAAACTTCACCTGAGCCTCCCTCGGCATATGGGTGAGTAGATAATGGCTGAATTTTCATTTTTGGGGGCACCATCCCTTTAAGGCAGCGAAAGTCAGCTACACACCTAGGGTACCTTGCACCTCGTATGTGGACATGGAAAGTCCATGACCAAATGTCAATATGTGACGAGCTCAGAGTGAGAATGTGTTGAAAAAAATAGTACTTGGTACATTTCTCTGGAGACAGCTTCAATGTAGTGAAACTTTATTTTGACATAGAGTAACTGGTAGCTGAGCTCACTACATTTTCCAAGTAGCTTGCCCAACATTGGGAACTAGACAGCAAAGAGCACTGCCTTTATAAACTTCATCAACTCTAAGAAAGGAAACAAAACATTAACTCTACACAGTTTAAATGGAAACTAAATTAAAAATCACAGAGGACATTGTGTAGTACTACCTTAAATCACCAGCATGTACATGTGAAATGATCACCTTAATTTTTTACATGTGGAGAGAAATATCAGTCATGTCATGTTGCTCCACTTTAGGTTCCGTCGAGCAGCGGAGCTCCAAAATACATATCCAGACTAGAGGTGAGACGTTAAATTTGTTGTTTGTTTGGTTCATTATTAAACCGCTAAGAGGCTGAATGCACTCTTTACTCTTTAAATAACATTTTGTTAAAGACTGCTGCTTTTGTTTTCCCCCAGGGTATCCAGGATGCCCTCCAGAGGGCGCTATCACTCCTTCTGCAGCAATCCCCCCGCAGGAGAGTGGCACTGGTGACATTCAACGATGAGGTAGGAGAAATCATGTCCTCCATTTCAAATGTTAATTAAAGTTAGTAATTTATAATCCAAAGACAGAACAGAAAAAGGTAAGTGTAAATGTAATTAATTCATTGTTTTTCATATGTATAATTTTACTTATTCATATATTATTTTGTTAAACTCATGATAGATAAATTATGATAATTCCACATGATTTACTTTTGGGGACTTTTATGTCACAATGCCATATTTATTTCGAAGCTCTTTATATTTCCTCTAAGTGCTCCAGGGATGATGTTTTGCGTCACCCTTGTTCCCTCGTCAAAAATCAAAAGCAATCCTCGAAGCCTAAATGCAATTGTCATATTAAGTAAAAAGCTAACGTTAGGCTAGACTAGGCTATAAAACCATCCTTCTTTCAGGCAAAATAAAATTCTTACTCTTTCCTTGTAAAATACAGGATATTTTTTGTTTCATACGACCTCTGAAAATCCTTTAAACGAAGCAGTCTGACCCAAAGTGGGTCAAATAGTCAAACAGAAATTGATTTGTTCTCACAGGGTCACAATTAAAGACAGTACAAGGTTACACTAAGAGGTTTACATGGGTAGGAGTGGAAATGGTGGAGTTTTAAGCTCTGTTTCCACCAAACATTTTCGGTATGGTACCTTTGGAACAAAAAGTAGTCTAGCACCTAGACCCTAGAGTTTCCACTGCAAACGGTACCTTAAAATGTGGGCGAGGTTGTTGTCACTCACTGTGTTTCCACATTATTGGTGACACAGATGGAAGTCTGTAAGTTATTTATTCTCAGACTCCAGCTGCTGAGAGAGGCAGCAAAACATCCTTTCATTTTATAGTTACAGTTCACTGATAAAACTCTCCACAGTATGAACAGTGGTTACATGAGCCTCAAAACCAGACACAACTCAGCCCTGAGCAGAGTGACTGTCCTCTACTGACCAATCAGACTGCAGTGTTCACAGCTCCACCTTTTAGTACCACATCTGTGTGCTAGGTACCCCAACAGAGGGGGGACCAAACATGGGGACGGTACAGAACGGTTCAATTGGCACCATCCACAACCGTACTGCTCAGAGGAATTGGGGCTTAAGTCATCTTACAAACCTCATAATGATGTCACTCAGAATCTAAAAGTGCAAAGATATAACTACACCTACCAAAGCCTCAGCATCACCTCTATCCAAGAACCAAGGCATACCTTTCATAAAACAAATGGTTCAGACAAATACTGAGACAGTCAAGACATGGGGTATTAAAGTATTAGAGTTCTTAATGATATTTGTGGTAATAGTAATAATACAAACAAAAGGGCGATTAGTACCAGGAGGGCTTTTTGAAGTCTAATATAAATACTAGCATATTTAAATACCCGTGATGCTCTGACCTTTTTATCATGTTTGTTTTTTACAGGTTGTAATATATGGTGATGGCACAAGCACTCCTCTCACTCTCAGGGACTGGGCATTGGTTGACTATGACCATATATGGCAGCAGGGTGTGGCTTATAGTGTCCCACACTGTATTGCTGAGACGTACCAACAACTTGTACAGGTGGTCAAAAAGTACGTGACCGTGGAGTGTGTTTTCTGTGTGTGTCTGTATAATTTAACATCCCATCTCTGTGGTGTGGAATTTTAAACACTGTTTTTAATATCTCAGCCTCAGGGAGCATGGCGCTACATGTCTCGGCCCTGCAGCGTTAGCCTCGGTTGCCATAGCGTCAAGGTATCCTGGGTCAAAGGTGAGTGTGTCCTAAGGACAAGTTCAACATTTCCGCGATTCTGCTTTCTTGCTGAAAATTAAATCAGAATTTATAGACGTCAGAATTATTTTTCTAGCTTTGCTTTTAAATAATCTGATTTATAAATGGCACAAAAACAAATGCGTCATCAGTGGCCTCAGGTACGTCTCCATTTCCACAGCCCCTAGTTCACATTCATGCTGTTGAGGTATGACAACAGAAATGCATGGCATGCTTTGGCAATGGCTGGCAGTTATGTAAAGTAAAGATAAGACAAACCTATTGCAAAGCAAGATAAATTCTCCTTTGAGAAGCAGAGGAGCAAAACACAGTTTATATGTACATTCTAGAGCAAGACTAAGCTGAAAATGTGTAATCTTTGTATCAGCTCAAAAGTATGGAGAATTCACATGCATTGTTGAGGTGTCACATCATCAAACTGAGTCCCCATTGCATTTTTACAATGATGTTGCCCATCTGAAACCCGCTTCTGTAGGCTGGCGAACAACAGAAATGACAAGGAAACTTGTGAGTGATGGAGCTCCTGATCTTCTGTGTCCTGCAGGTGATTTTGTGCACTGACGGCAGAGCCAACATTGGACTGGGTGAGATGGATGAAATTCCCTCTCTGTCCCCCTCTCACCTTACTCCGTATTTCTACAGACAGCTGGCTCTGCAGTCCGTGAGCAGTGGGTGAGGATCCCTACTTGTAATGCATGTGTTTGTAACTGAGCAGATTAATCTCTGGCAATTAAAAGTTAAAACTTCAATTAGTAGCCCGGGCTATTACTTGTTTAAATCAGTGAAATCAACAGGCCTACATTTGGGACAGGCCTTTAATTGCTTACAGGGCAATCAAGGAATGGACACATAATTTGAGGTAGCCAACAACCCACTTGTACACATCCGAAGAACTTCTATCAAAAAAAAAAAAAAATGGACTGCTTGGCAACCAGACCAGGCCTCTAATTGAGACAGTTTTACGGTAATATAAAATATTCTCTCTTTCTTTTCTTCTCCCAGTGTCATAATATCAGTGATGACTTTTGAAGGGACAGATTGTCGCTTGGCTGACGTCGGGAGACTTGCAGACACGACTGGAGGAAGGGTGAGGCACTGTACATTCACATCAATATAATTGCTGGCACTGAGGAACATATTTAATGCAAATGAATGTTCCGGTTGTGGGGAGTGTACTGAAACATTCTTCTCATGAAGGTGTAACCACGACTTGACCTGAAGAACTACTTCAGTATAAGTACAAGTTCTACAGGCTGGCAGTGTTTAACCGTTTGTTCACATCACCAGTTGCTCAAACTTGCAAGAGGGAATACTTATTTCCTATGAGACAAACATTTAGCAGATAAATAGCATGTTTGCATTACATGTTAGCATTTAGCTAAGCCCCGCTGTGCCTTCATGTCAGGTTTTACTAGAAAAGAGTCATACAATGTGCTATTCAACCTCGTCAGAAGACAAACATATCAGAAAGGAAATGGGGGATTTCTGAAGTCATTCAACCACCAAAAAGCACAGCATTAAAGAGAAGCTGTGGTGGGTGTGTGGTGTAGTTTCAGCTGGGAGATGTGTTCAAGTGGCAAGTTCGCGAAGTTCCACAAGCTCTCGTAGGTGTTACAGTCTAATAAACTCAAAATGTCAAGACGGAAATATTATTTCACTTATTTTCTTATTAAAGAAAAAATATAACCATAAACTTTCTGAATTCCTGAATTTTCTAAGACGAGCTTAACTGCCTTGTTAACTCATCAAAAAGGACACTTCATCCAAACTAAAGAAACGAACCAAAACTCACCAGAACTGTCTTGGTTAGTCTTTCCATTGTTCCAACAATCACCACCTCGGGTTTGGCCAAAATAAACCCTTAGGGTAGCCTGGAAATCCAGACTCAAATCTAGAGAGATTTTGAGTCTGGCCCTCACCAATGCACCCTTCCTACCCAAGGGGCGGCAATAACTGAGGCATATTAAATGCTGCCGCACGCAATTGGATAGCAGGATGGCCAATCAGAGCAAAAAACAAGGTGATGTATTCATTGCACTAAGCCCCATTTGTTTGCCGAACAGTGTGGCTAACTGATATATTATGCTCTTGCCGTATCCCGTCGCTAAAACGGCAAAAACATTATTCCTGGAAGCGAAGGCTTCTAGGGTAGTCTTCTGTTCCTCTCTCAAGGAAAAAGATAAGTGTAGTTGGCTTAGTGTTTCTTCCAAAGCTAAACTGAATGGACACGGTCCTTCGGCAGCTGCCATCTTGGCTGTTTACTTTTCAACTCCTACGGCGCAGCGTTGTCTTCATCATGTTATGCCCGCTCAGAGCCCGCCTCTGTCAGATAGACTGATCTGATTGGTCCAGTGGTGATTCATGGGGGTCTGCCCGTTGGGGCCAGTTCCCCATGCAGAGCAAATTCGAATTTGCTAGGGGCGGAGCATCTGGATTTCCAGGTTACCCTTAAGGCTCATTTATGCTCCCTTTACATACGAAAATGTATACGTCCGTTTCAAATGATGTTACCGTCACTGCCCACATACTTCCATGCGCCCTTTACGTTGGCATGGATGTTAACCAATATATTCACCAGGGGGCAGCCCAGCGTCAAAAGTTTATGACAACAACAAACTCAAAAACAAACATGGCGACTGTGGAGGAGATATTGATAACGTACCTCTTGCATAAAAGACAAAAACAGAGGCAGCGTTGTAGGAGGCGGTGGTCGGTGAGGCTGTTAAATACATCGTGACTGGAGGACAGAGAATTGTTTTCTCTAGTACTGCTGATGAAAGAAATTTAGTTGTTATTTCTTCTTTGTGTCTCACTAGAGCTACGTATCGGGTAGTGACAGCAACACTGCCCCCACGGTTTCTGGTGGTACTGCTCCGTTTAGCCCGTATCTGTAAGCTTTATGGAAACGTGCAGAAATACGGACGAAATGAACGCAGAGCACGGGCAGAAGGCTCCATCCGTATCCGGATCCATATTTAACGTTGAGCATAAATGAGCCTTTAGGGTGCTTTCAGACCTAGCGTTGTCTTGCTTTGGTCTGAATCAGGGACTACTTTTGTTATTGCATAATTGCTTAGAGTTGGTTTGTGTTCTCACAGCAGCATTTACAAGTGGACCACATAAAATATCTTGTTCAAGAAAGCTGCTCTTGATTGGTCAAAAGAATCCAGGAAGTAAACAAAACGAAGAAGAGTGAGACCACCTCTTCAAGAAGGTCTCGGTCCGGTTGTTTTGGTGCACACCTGAGTGTGATTGCTGTGTTCACACTTGCCCAAATGAACCGCACTTAGGCAGCAAATGAACTGAACCAAGCAGGGTAGGTGTGAAAGCACCTTAATTCACCCAGTTAGTTGTGAAAATATGCTGACTGTCCACAGTTATTCTCCGCTGTCTCTCTCTGCCGTTGCTGGCATTTTTGTGCTGCTAGATTAGCTTGCTGAATGAGAGTCTGTCGCTCAGTAGTTTCACATAGCCAGACCTGTCTCCACACTTCTTTCTAGCACTGTGCCCGCTGAACAGTGGCTCTCATTCGTTCTCTGGAGGAAGACCATTAATCAGCTGAGTAAAATGACAAATATCAGCCAAATAAAAAATGCCCTGAAAAAACAACTGGTGATGTACTCAGCCAGAAGCTGATATAGTCGTCCAATCACCCAACCCTAACTTCTATCCAGGCAGCTGCCAGTTTTAGTTCAGTAAATTATGAACATTCCCCTGTAAAGACTTGGAACTTGTTTGAGATCTGTCATAGTGAACAGTGTCTCTCTCCCCTGTATTGTGTTTCATTCTCTTCCCCCAATACTGCATTTTCTCCTGCACAGGTAAACATCGTGAGCATCGGTACTGTTGCAACAGAGATCCAGTCTGCCTCCATGGACAACATCCTTGCCACAGGAGTCACAGCGACCCTACTTGGTCCTGATGGAATGTGAGTGAAATCAAAATTACAGAGACAGGAACTTTAAGGGTTACTTTTGGGTGTACCTTTTGTACATATCCATACCTGACAACATAGCTTTTTCACAGGGATTTTACACTCACCGGCTACTTTATGAGGTACACCTGTTCAACTGCTCGTTAATGCAAAAAGCTAATCAGCCAATCATGTGGCAGCAGCTCAATACATTTAGGCATGTAGACATGGTGAAGACGACCTGCTGCAGTTCAAACTGAGCATCAGAATGAGGAAGAAAGATGATTTAAGTGACTTTGAACGTGGCATGGTTGTTGGTGCCAGACGGGCTGATCTGAGTATTTACTGGGATTTTCACCACAACCATCTCTAGGGTTTACAGAGGATGGTCCCAAAAAGAGAAAATATCCAGTGAGCCAAAATGCCTTGTTGATGCCAGAGGTCAGAGGTCAGAGGAGAATGGCCAGACTGGTTCAAGATGATAGAAAGGCAACAGAAAGTCAAATAACCACTGGTTACAACCAAGGTTTGCAGAAGACTGGTTTCTTGAACATGACAATGAGTTCACTGTACTCCAATGGCCTCCACAGTCACCAGATCTCAGTCCAATAGAGCACCTTTAGGATGATGTGGAACGGGAGATTATCATCATGGATGTGCAGCCGACAAATCTGCAGCAACTGTGTGATGTCATCATGTCAATATGGACCAAAATCTCTGAGGAATGTTTCCAGCACCTTGTTGAATCTATGACACCAAGAATTAAAAAGGGCGTCCACCCTGGTCCTAGCAAGGTGTACCTAATAAAGTGGGCAGTGAGTATGATTCTCTTCTTTCTCTTTCTCTGTAGGTATTTTCCCTATGAGGAGGAAAACAATCACAAACTGGTGAGAGAGATAGGGAATGTGACCATGGGGCTGGAGATCACCTTCCAGTTCGCTGTAAAACCAGAATTTATGGAAGGTAACACATACAAAATCAACACTGACATTTTCTGTGATATGGTTTACACTACACTGTGGGGACTATGTCCTCATAGCCCAACTAACATCGTGGGGACCCGCACCCAGTTTTTCTACAGAAGGACACACTTCCATTCCAACTCCAGCTGAGCTTCAAGACCAGAGACCAAGACAAAGTCACTCGTGTTATCACTGAGCAGCGACCAGTTACTACCTGCAGGTAAACACTGTACGCCTGAATAGTGAACTCAAAATAGAGTGTGCCAGGGCTGACGTCAAAACCCGGAAGTTTAGCATCGCGCTGGTTCCCGGAAGAGAAAGTGAATGTGATTTTTGCATTGCATTTTGGATTATGTCAGAAAATAAGATCTGTGGCTAACACAAGTTTATGATACCTACAGGTTTTGTTCAATAAGATAATCTTCACATATGAACACCTTTCATACCGCATTTGAAGCTTAAATGCAATCGCCAGAAGTAAAAAGCTAACGTTAGGCTTTAACGGACTACATGACTACTCCACGGTCGCATGACTCTTGACGTCACCGCCACTAAGCTTTCAACTGATTTCGGCCGCTTTATTTTAAAAACATTGTATAATGGGGAAATCGGACTGTTTAAGCTAAATAAGAAGCTGTAATGGCGGACTGCCAGCACTCTCGCCTGTTCGGGGGTGATGACGTTTAATGTCCCCGACAGGGTTTGTAGTCGTATTGAGCAACTTGTTAGCAACCGCCTTTTTTACGACACGTAAAAGCTTCAAAATTCACAAGTAGGGTATTTACTGACGTGTTTTATGTCGTAGAACAAAACATGAAACTCGCTTAAGCTTTTGTTAACCACAGACCTTATTTAAGGAATTATACCAAAATCCCATTCAAAAAACGCATTGACTTTTAGATGAGAGAACCGGAAGTGCTAAAAGCCCTAACAGAGTTTCGGGTTTACTGGCACACTGTATACTTTTGCAGTATTACCTTGATGGTATCCATACTAAAGAGTATCAAACACAAAAGTCTGTTAGATTCTCAGTCACTGTTCAAAATAAATGCCAGTGTTTACAGTCAAAGTAATGCTTTAAAAAGTGGATTTTTAATATCAGTGTTGAAACCCTCAGTGTCAAGAAATGTGATCTGCTGTGTTCGAGATCATTTATCTGTGTTTCTCTCATCTCTTCTGTCTGAAGTCGGATTTGGGCTGGAAGCCTCAACATGGCGGTACTTGGCGTTCACTGCGCTCAACTCTGTGCCAGTTTAACCATGGAGGGTCGAGTGGAGGAAGCACAGAGGCAACTAAAGGCACAGCAAGACCTGCACAAATTAATCAGGTACGACTCTGATCCAGGTGGAGGGCAGATGACAATGTATGACGATGCGTTTAACTTAATGATTAAGACATGTTTTTACATTTAGAAATATTTTTGGATTTCATCAATACAATAAATATAATAAACAATATAAGACTGAATGATTTTATTTTTAAGTTAACACATCTTTTTTGTGTGTATTTATCTCTGGTTTACAGCACATTGTGGGGACCCAGACCAGGTGTCCCCATTTGGGTCCCTGTTGGTCCCTGTAGATGTTTATTTTGCATTTAAACTTGGTTTTGTGTTAAGATTAGAATTAGGTTTAGGTCAAAGTTAGGATAAGGGTTAAGGCAAAGTGTGTATGTCACTCTTTCTGCCCCATAGTAAGCAGAGGCCAATCAAAAAGGAAGAAAGCATCTATGGCAACTGGATGGACACCATGACATCGATATGTGAAGACATCACCATGGAATCACGGGTAATTTTACACTTTAATTACCAGGATGTGGTGAAATTATTTATAATTATATTACTTATGTGTTAGTTTTATCTGATTCATAGCTGTCGTGCAGAAACTCCACATGCAGTTTCATTATCCATGCACCATCCTTTTGCTTCGTACAGGTGAGAAGTGGCTTTCATTGATTTGTCGTCTCTTTTTCCGCCTCCAGACTCTCTCTGATGAAGCAGCTAAGGTAATGTACCAGATGAAGAGAGCCAGCAGTAACAGCAACTACAGCAACACAACTGAGGTCCAGAAGAAGACCAGGAGGAAGAAGAAGGCTCTCGTGGAGGGAATGTAAAGACCAACAAATATGGAGACTTGATTTCATATTTAGCTCAGGTGGCCACAAGTTTTTATTTAGCACGTGCAGTACTAGAAGGAGCTTCACTGTGAAGCTGACTGAACTGGAATAATATTGGAATTAACATGTAAAATCATTACCACAAATGATTTATGAAATAATGTAATACTGTGTATTGTTGACTGGTAATTGATTTGATAAATCCAAAGTGTACTTGACTTAGACAGAAGCATATGTATTACTGTATTAGCATACAGATTTTATTGTGCAGCTCCTTACAGTGTCAGAAAATGGCTGCACTGCAGGAAGCTGTGGCATTTCAGTGTTATATACGGTTTAACGTAACACTCCAAACCATAGTTGTATGTACTGTATGTACACACTTGTGAAATAAGACAAAAATCTTTAAACAATATTAAAACATACCACAGATTACAACATCAATATTTCCTCATTTCCTTCTATTTAAATCGATGCACTTTTGTTTATTTGTGGTACTATTAAACAAAAGCAGATACTCTGTATGAAGTTATCGGCAGTACTGACACCCTAATTCATGCGTCACTTCACTGGCTCTTTAAAACACACTAACACTGATGGGCGAACGAACACACACAGGAGGTGAATCTATCTCTGAATGCGCCCTTATGTAAAGTTTAGATGTTGTGACGTGTGATTTATAGAATGTTTTCTGTGTGTTGACAGTGACATGCTTGCATTGGCTGATGCATTGCACATTAGTATTTGAGCTACGAGTGTATGTGTTTTATTTTCATGCACTGTGTTGCGTGGGTTTTTGGCGGAATCTGACCTGACAGTGATCTAGAAAGATTTCTTTGTATGTTGTGTATATAATACAGGCTGTTTATGAAGGCTGTGTGAGCAGTTTATGGCATCCAGTTATGTCTTTTCATATGCTGTGCCTTTTTTTGAAGGATGCAAAGGATGCCCCTAGACCAGCGTTGGGCAGTAATGTGTTACAGTAACAATACTACTTTTTCCAGCAAAGAGTAGTGTAACTAATTACCAATAAAATGTCACCAATTATAGTACAGTTACCCCAATAACAAACAACTTATTACAAAGTTACTTTTGTCATCACATCACAGACTAATTTTCGTAATTGTCACGCAGCCTAGCCACGTCACAAAGAGGCAAGCTAGTTTGGAAGATGGAAACACTCACCCTAGTCGCTGTAAATATTCCCATTACTTAGATTTTGTCGGGATTTTGCTGTGGGTAATGGTACTAAAACTCTTTCCTCCACGAAAAACACATCCCCAAACCTCTGCTCTGAAAGACCTCAGCTACTAAGAACTACAGCTCAACAACGTGAAGCTCCAGGACATACATCGCACCAAAAGTGAGCCCTCCTTGGCCACGGACGTCGGCTGTAGCTCTACACTGGCTTAACAACCAAAACTGGATTTTAACTCGTGGACAGCTGCAGCTACAAAGAACTAATGAAGCTTGTGGTTGGATATGTGGTGGATGAAATGTTGCTCCATGAGTGACTCTCTGTCTTTGAGACAGAGCTTTGGGAAAATACCGGTCACAAGCAACAGTAGAAAAAATAATTGGCAAGCTATGTGACCTTAGCTACACTTACCGGCAATTTCCCTGACATTTACACAGAGACACATTTTTTGGGGAGATACACCATAACCAAATTTATGGGGGGGTAACGGAAAAGTAATGTAACGAGTAGTGTAACAAATTACTGCTGGCAGGGAGTAATAAGTAAAGTAATTTCATTACTTTTGAAAAGAGTAACAAGTAATGTGTACTATATTACATTTTAGTAACAAGTCCAACACTGCCTTAGACTCACTTAGTTGCAAAGTTGCTCTCCAACAGTGAATGAAGCTGTAAATACCAGTGATGAACTTGGGTAACTTCCATGATACCTGAGTTTTATACATAATGTGCATTGGAAGACAATGTGCCAGATTCTTTGTAAATCCTATTTGTTTGTCAAAATGTGTGTATTCAGTTCATTCATCCATCCATCCAGGTTCATCTGCTTATGCAGGGCCGGATTGCACAGGAGGCAGGCTGAGCAAAGAACTTTGGAAAACCTCTAACAGGAAGTGCCAACAAGACATAATGATCAGACAACTGAACCACCTCAACTGACCCCTTTCAAAATGAGGGAGCAGCGGCTCTACTCTGAGCTCCCTTTGGATGTCTGAGCTCCTCACCTTATCTCTGAGGCTAAGCTCAGCCATCCTACGGAGGCAACTCATTTTGGCCTCTTGTGTCCGTGATCTCATTCTTTCGGTCACTACCCAGAGCTCATGAGTCATGACCAGTGAATCAAAAGCATGACTAATCTGACTAGTCCACTGAAGCTTCCAGACAGCCTGGAGAAAAGGCTGTTTTTGAATCTGGTGCAGAGGTCGTGTTAACCGATTATTCTCGATCAGCGGCTGAATTTTTTCAACATTGATCTTAAGGTCGTCCATCATTTTGACAGACCGGCTATTGTTTAGTCTTGCCTTTGATCATGTGTGCATGACCTCATTGTTGAGCTGGCGCTTTGGCTATCGCATTTGTAGGCTTTATCTCTACATACCATTGTAAAATGCTTTGAATGTCACAGCCCAAAAAAAGAACAGAAAAAAACATACATCTGCTTCGTGTGGTGTTGACTGCATGGTCGGTGTCTCTGTTCATTCTTTCTTTCTGTGCCCTTGTAAATGCATTTCATATTATGTATATTAATCAATAAAAAATGAAAATGAATGAGTGAAAATAAACACACACTGACCAGTCGCTACAAAACACCAATGTTTGAAGCTTAAAAAGCCAATTCGAAACACACTGACCGGTCGCTACGAAACACTCACATCTGAAGCATAAAAAGCCAATTCGAAACACACTGACCGGTCGCCACAAAACAGCCACATCTGAACCTTAAATAGCTGATGGAAACACACTGACCAGTTGCTACAAAACACCCATGTTTAAAGCTTAAAAAGCCAATGGAAACACACTGACCGGTTGCTACAAAACACCCATGTTTAAAGCTTAAAAAGCCAATGGAAACACACTGACCGGTTGCTACAAAACACCCATGTTTAAAGCTTAAAAAGCCAATGGAAACACACTGACCGGCTGCTACAAAACAGCCACATCTGAAGCTTAAATAGCCCCTAGAAACACACTGACTGGTCGCTACAAAACAATCATTTTTGTTGGTCATTGGTCTTAAACAGTGGTCTACAGCTTGGCAGGCTTCTCACATGAGTGTCACGCCATCCACCATCCCCTCTATGTCCTGATGACAAAGTCAGCTCATATTTTACGTCACTCTAGAAACGCTGATATCATATGTATGAAAAGTACAAATGTAACGTATTAATGGTTTGCAGAAACGTACAATGCCAACATTTTCTTCTGGCAACTGGGCCGAATTATTGCAATTAATGCTGTACAGCCTCCATTAACTTAATCATAGAAATGTATTTACCTTCCTTTGTGCCATTCAGTAACAACATGGTGTCATTACAGAGACTACAGGAAACAGGTTTAGTCCTTGCATGTGCCAGTGTGTGCCTGTCAATGGTGCAATAGTTCTTACTGTGTGGAATGTACCAGAGGAAATGTACCAGTGCGGAATGTACCAGAGGAAAAGCACTGAAGGTACTGCTGATTGGCAGATAGCGAAGCAAATTTACTTAAATCTTGTGTGTGAGTCGTTGCAACGCAAGCAGATTAAAAACACACCAGTGGTAGACTTACATATACTCAAACACCGTAGTAAAGTGCAATTATGAGATACCTGTAAGTTGTCATCTTGTATCTAGTATTACCTTTTTATGCTTATTTATACTTATTACTACATTGTATTGTTCTCGTTAGTTCGCAGATTGAGATTTTACGCAAAAAAACTTAAAAACAAGTTTATTAAATTGCTGCATACACATTAATCACTAATAACCCAGCTTCTGCTTTCTGTGTTAAATACACCAGTTACATAGGATAGTGACAACACCCACTACAAACTAGCTTCTTTTCTTGCAAGGTCAACTGTGACGTCGACACTTACCAGAGAAACTATTTGCATGTGCCACAGGTTATATTTACTAAAAAGCTGAGTCACTAGCACAATTAACGAAGATGTTTTTGTAACAAAGCCCAGCATCCTGTTTGGCTACACACTGTCTGACAGTAGCCTTATCTCTCTCTGAAGGTACCGCCTCATTTGCCGAAAGGAATGCCAAACGTGTCCAAACGCACAAACAAAAACCCATGAGAGAGTGAGGACAAATCACACAAAGATACATGGAGGCGGCAGAAAGCACAATTCCCACAACTGGGAGGATTCCCACGATGAGAGGAACTAACTTTATCCTTCATGCCATCACCGGGCCTCAGTCACGTAGAGCTAAACACAATGTTCAGACCGCGGTGAAGTTACTGTCATTAAGTTACTGTCATTAAAATGCACATTGTGGTACCATAACAATTATTGAGACATAAATTACAGGGTGGAGCAGAGAAAGGACATTGTTCCTTTTTGTTTTAAAGCCAATTAAAAATTAAGTTAATAGGCTATTATTGTCTCATAAAAAGTAACACTGAGATTTAGGTCAATACGTTTGCTTACTATCTTAAGTAGGGCTGAACCAAATGCTTCGGAGCTTAGTAAACTTGTGGAGGAAACTAAAAGGAGGAGGCAAGTGTCAGACATGAATGAGACTAGTATTGTCAGCGCACTCATCGACTGCCGCTTCAAGCAGTTAAACTGGCTGTCTGACGAGGAAAAGGAACAGTTGAGATGGATTGCGCAATAGTCCACCTTACACCCTTCATCCCCCCAGGGCCCATTGCATCATGTCAAATCTTTGAACATTTGCAGTTAGTTATCACTGAAGCTCAAAAGCCTCAAGATGGTATTTTTCGGACAGCCCTAGTTTTAAGTCCTGTTCACACAGGACTAGTAATACCAGGAGACTTTATGTGATTTAGAACACCACGCTTTTTTTCATGCACTAGCAAATAATAACATAAATAATTACGAACTATTTCAGTTAAAGAGTTCAATGGCTAAAAACTCTAATATTGTCTTACCTGATACAAGGTTGTTTCACTCCCTCTTGACTAGCCATTTGTTTACTTTCCTCACTTTTTCTCTTCTCATGCACAGAGCTGATCTGCAAATCAGAGTGATTTCATTCACCAATGGGCTCCAGGGCCTAATCAATATGCTGAATCGACTGAAAAAAATCTGACAAGGGCCGACAAGGGAGAATGGCACAGGACACACCACAAAAACAAGGGTGGCAGACGCGCTTTGACCGCCAAACATTGACTGATGGCCAACCATCAGCTTCATTTGTCAGGGCCCCTAAATGTGACCTTAAATCACATGGGACTAATGTTATGACATGACCTCTGTGTTTGGCTAAATATGGTTGGTATTTGCCTTTTCTCTACATAATATGGACATGACAGATTTGCCAGGGATTAAGATCAAAGACAACCTCCGCAATTATTACATATTACTTGATGTCCCCAGGTAATACTATTCCCTATATGAATCCCAGAAATAGTCCAGGATGTGTTTAGCTGAACTTAAGAAGAAAAATTTGCCTTCCAACCACTAAAACTCTTATTTGCAGGTAATATTGAACTCGCTAACAAGAAGTCACCAATATGTCCAAGGCCCAGTTAACGCCTGGTACTTACATGTGTTCTGGGTGATCGGATCACCAGTGAATGTATTCAATGCGTTCTCGATGCATCTTGAGATCTGATCGCTCAGACAACATGACATGTGGACACATATAGGATTTTCTAAACGTAAATCCAGCATTTGGTTTAGTGTTGGGCAGGTAGTTCACAATGGGTTTATCGAAGCTTCTTTGCTGAAAACAGCTGCCTGATTTCACTGGATACGACTGCAAGACTCAGCTGATTTTCCGCAGGTTTTAGACATATAGATGTTGCTTTTAAAACTCAGAATGTTGTCACTGTCTCCTCCACCTCCTTGTGCATGTTTGTGACAGTCATGTGTTGTATTCAGTTAGCATTAAAATCAAGGTTAGTGGTGTAGAGAGAAGGAATGTCAAAAATAAGATTTACAGTTAAAATATTAGCAAATTAATTTTTGTTCTCTCTGCTCCAACAAATATTTGAAATTTGTCTGGAAGTGTTCATGATAAAATAAAATTTATGATACAAAATATCTACTAAAAAGGATTCTGCAGATTTTCATTTTGGATCACCGCTGAAAACAATTAAAAAATCAGCAGATTGTTCGTTTGGGCCTGCTGATGGAGCCCGGTCTCACATTGAAGTCGGCGAAATCCGGCGTCGGAAACCAATGAAAGATGGCGTCTTTTACCGTCGGCATGATATGTGGCCAATTGCTGTTATAGTTCAACAGCACCTGGCAGCGTCAGGGGGAGATGTAGTGGTACAAGGACGAAAGTTAAGGCGGGCAGGAGGGGTGGTGGATGGGTCCAACAAACACTGACTGTCACCTTAGAGAGCGGTGTTCGCGTTCCGTTATTATAAAACCAAACCCTGTTCTTTTATCCTAAACCCAACCACGTGTTATTGTTGTTGAAGAAAAAACAAACAAACTCTATTAGTTGTGTTGTACCGACATTGTGTGTTTATTTTGAAAGAGACTGTATGTAAACATTAAATTTCCTGTGAAAACGAACGGTTATGTAAGAATATTGATTAATTCAGTGTTTTGTGGTTTTAAAAAAATGGGGAAATGGGCTACATTGTCCCTGCCTGAGGCCAGACGAACATAAATCATGGAAATATAGGTTGAAGGTTGAGACTGCTGCCACTTGACCTACTTTGTGTTTCCACCTCAACCAGTCCTGCCACATACAGCGGGACAGGTGAGTGGGCGTGGTGTGACTTTCCTTTCCATGATTGAGGAAACTGACAATCGAACACACACACACCTTTTATATGTCACAGCCTGAGAAGCAGGTGCACTTCATACGTGAGGCTCTGAGCGATCAAGGCACGACTTCTAAAGATCAAGACACAACAAACAACGTTCTCTGGTGCTTTTTGGATCTATTTTAAAATCAGACCTATCAACTGACAAGGTATCAACTTTTACTCTCTTATTCCATGTTTAATGCTTATCTGACATAGCTAAAAAAAAAGGTTACTGACAACAGACAGCGTCACTCAATGGGCCTTAAATGTCAAAAATCAGACAGTATGCATTGTTTACTGGAGTAAGGCTGCAACAATTACTTTGATGTCTTGTTTGCCCAAAACCAAAAGATATCAATTTCGACTTCGCTAAAATAGAGAAAAGTAGCAAAACCTCACAGACAATGGACCTCATGCAGGAAATCATGTATGAACAAATTTCATCCTATTTTGTTCGAATTTGAAATTTATTCATATCTTGTTAGTTCACATTAATTTCTGAGATCCACCAATACTTTGCTATTTCTGCTCTTCTCTTCAGTAACGGAAAATTTTATAAGTAGTCGAGAGCGCTCTTACCAAGAGAAGAGAAAGGCATATGGTTTTCATACTTCATACTAACTATACTGGGTCCACTGATCCCAATTACTGTAATTTGAGTTACTGAGCGTCCCTCTGCTGGTGGAATGTAACTAAGTACAATTAGTTAAATACTTTACTTAAGTACAAATTTGAAGTACTTTTACTTTACTTGAGTCTTTTAATCCTATGCCACTTTCTACTTCTACTCGGCTACACTTCAGAGGGAAGTCTTGTACTTTTTACTCCACTACAATTATCTGATAACTGTCGTTAATTCATAATTTAAGATTACAAACCATATAAAAATACAAGTGCAGCTGCAATGATTCGTCAGGTGATTGGAAATTCAACTAGCAGCTATTTTGATAAACTTTTGAACCATTAATGAAGGAAAGACAATTCCCGCACAGTCCCGTTACTTGCAACGAACCCTATTAAGCAAACATTTAAGTCGTCAGACCCTCATCAGGTGAAGAAGCTTTTCTCAGCTCTGACCTTTTCTACCCTTCTTTATCTGATGAAGGTCTGACAACCGAAATGCTGTTTGCTTGATAAAGTTTACTGCAAGTAATGGGACAATGTGCAGGAATTCTCTTTCCTTCATCAATAGTTCCGGTTTAACAAATATGAGGATTTGCTGCTTTTTCTTTTAATGATTTTGACTTATTGAGTTAATGTACATTTTTCTGAATCGAGTACTTTTACTTTTAATACAGTTTCCTGATTGAACTTACATATTTTGACTTTTTCAATGCAGGACTTTTATTGTAGTAAAGGTTCTGAATACTTCCTCCACCGCTGCTGCAGATATGACATTTACAAGCATCATAAATGTTTTGCCATCGCTGGATTTTTGATTGTTTCCCTTTAATTTAATTTAATTCTTATGGAGTTTAACAGTACATCTTTTCCATTACTGCTGATCTCCTTTTTTTTGGTAGTATCTCTTCAATTCTTGGGCATGTGTCAGAGTCTTTGCACCCAGTGGGTGTTAAGCCTAGTTCACATTACACAATTTTCACCCTGATTTTGCGTCGCGGAGAATATCGTAATCTTTTGAGTGTTCATACCTGGCGATGTACGTTTCTGTCAGCGGGAGTCTCACCAACTGCATTACGACCTGTGTGTGTACACCACAAGATTTCTCCACTGAGCCCTCGCCGGCAGAGCCCCAGATAACGCGGTGACGTCACCAAACTACATTTTTTAACTTGGAGACGACACATCGTAAAGGCACTGATATTCTTCCCAGTGTTGAATCAGGCCTGGGTCCAAACACAACGTGCTCCCCGTGATCCTGTGGACGCTGACGTTGTTGTTGCTTGCTGGCTTATCAGTGTTGCCAGATCTTGGGAGAGAAACAAGCAACCCAGGCTATGGAAACAAGCCCAAAAGAAGCGACTATCATGCATTTAAATAACTTATTAGAAGGATAAATATAGAGAAAGGTGACGTTTGGAGAGCAAGCCCAAATAAGCAACTCTACTTTAGAAACAAGCCCAAAGTCGCGGCTAATAAGCAGACCCGGCAAGTGGTAACCCTGCGGCTTGTCGTCCTCACATTTCTTCTGTCCTCCTGCGTGCTGACGTGGGACGTATCCTGCCTCTCATTGGCTGATGTTCTTTGTCAGTCGTGTCAGACTTCTCCAGTTTTCTAGCATGCCAGATATCCAGTCCCAGTCACAGACAAGGGGCAACTTGCTCGTAGGCTTGTTCACACATGAGGACTCATTGTGGCAGACTATCTGCTCACTCACCTCTGACCCAAGGTGGCTCTCAAGATCCTCTGCGACGTCAAAGTCGCGGTGAAAATTGTGTAAAGTGAACTAGGCTTTACCTATGCTAATAGGTTACTTACGATCAAGTAGGATTCATCACTCAGTACACCTGGGTAAGAGCAGATTTAGATCGTTTCAAGTCTAAATTTAAGTTCCAGATTAACTTCATTTGGAAGCAGCAGTACGGAGGTATAGTCATATAACAGTGAGATAAAATGTTGTTTTTGGAGCATCATTTAAAGTAAGAGTCTGTAACAGTCATGCAATTCGTTCTGGAGTGCCCTTTAGGTCACGTCACGTCTTGCCTATCATCCTTCCTGTTATTAAGATGGCTGGGGTATCTCATTCAGGTGTTGTTAACTTGTTATTGATGTTAATATTAATGATCAAGAGCATAGCTTGCTTGTGCTCTGTGATTTCTTAGCTGCAAACCAGTTTCCTTCAGGGTAAGTAAGCTTAACACTGCAAGACGCAATGTTAAAAAGCACCTTGTGGCTTACTCTAATCGGATTAACATTTTTTAAGACACTCTTTTGTAGCCTCAAGGCCACTTTGTGTTCACGTCTGGAAACAACACTTTGGCCAAGTTGAGAAAACGTTGGCATGATTTCAATGGGTATTAACAGACTAGTATGGTTATTTAATCGCACCTGAAGACTATTGATAATAGAACTGTTGTTGGCAAAAATAGAACAAAAGGACACGAAACACAGAGGTTAAAAATCAGGAATTAAAAGGCAAAGCTCTCCTATAGAATTATGTTTTAAGCAATGACTTAAAAACAGGTAACGTGCTAGCAAGCCTAATCTCCTCAGGCAGAAAATTCAAGAGCCTTGAGACCTTGATGGCAAAAGCCCGGCCACCTTTAGTTACTAACCTCAATCTAGGGACAACTAGTGAAGGTAGGCTTGAGGATCTCAGGTCACGACTTGGAGCACAGGTAGTCAGAAGGTCAGCTATGTAACTGGGGGCTAAATCATACTGAGCTTTAAAAGTTACTAAAAGAATCTTAAAATCAATTCTGAAGTTAACTGGCAACCAGGAGGGAGGCGAGAGTTGGAGTGATATGTGACCTACAATTTGTCCCAGTTAAAATACGAGCTGCACTAGTTGAAGCCGAGCTACTGAGGATTTACCGAGGCACGTAAACAGTGCGTAACAGTAGCTGAGGCACAAGAATACAAAAGCATGAATAAGCTTTTCTGGGTCAGGAAGAGACACAGCTGATTTAATTTTGGTAATATTTCGTGGGTGGAAGTAGTAGGATTTAAGCATGCCCCCAGTTTGGAGAAGCAGGCAGCTAAGCGATGTACTGCTGTGGATGGGGGCAGCAGCAAAACATACTTTAGCCACCTAAAAAAAATCAGTGTATCAAGTGTTATATTGGGAGTATTTTCACTGCTGTCAGACAGCCCTATCCAACAGGGAGCCGACTTACTAATGCTCCCATCAAAGCCACCAAACTCCTTTGACTCAAGCAGTAATTTAACCTTGGAGAAGACAGGAGTTGCTGGTCTGCCGCTGCCTGGATCAGATAGTTAGTTTGTGGTACATTAGTGTTTTAAAGGGTTGGTTCAGATTCACCAAAGTCACACAATCATGACAAAGACCAGCAACTCTTGCGTTCTGCGGGGTAAAATTACTGCTTTTGTCAAAGGAGTCTGGTGAATGTGAAGACAGCATTAGATGGATATAATAGTTTTAGTCCTCTGTCGTTAAAATACATTTTGTTGCTGCCCCTGTCCACAGCAGTACATTGCGTGCTTGTGCGCCTGTCTGCTACTCTAAACTGCGGACGCACTGACTGCCAACTGCTGTATGTAATACACTGACTATGGATAGGTACGTCCTACAACCACACTTTAGAAAAGCCGAACTATCCCTTAAGCGACTCACAAGTCATTTATTTCCTTTTGACCCCTCCCCGGGGTATAAGGGACAAACAAAATAGCAATAACAAATCAGAGCAGGCGGCAACCAATGTACAACAAAATAAATAAAACAGAATTAGTGTACATACGTACAAGTCAAAGCAAATCAAGAGAAACTATTAAGGATTTTCTTTAAAAGTTTCAACAAATTTGACAAAACCTTTACTTTTCAAGATGACATTAACTTTTGAACTTGTAAATATTTGGATTTACTCTATAGAATTGTCCGACCAGCTCTCTTCTCTCTTTGTTAAAAAAGGAACACACAAGTACATAATGATATTCGTCTCCTCGATTGCCAGTCAAACAAAGAGTACATTGCCGAGGGACATTTTCACAGTCATACCTGCGCTCAGAGATAGGTAACTTATGATTTCCACACCAAAACAAATCCTTTCGGCAGGTCTTAACATAATCAAATAAGGTTCAAAAGTGAAATCTGTTTTAAACAATTTATAACTATCACATAAAGGGTTGCTTTGTAATTTCTCATGCCATCTCTGTAGTTCCATGTCAGATAATCTACGTTCAATCATTAATTTTAAATTCTTAGGATTCATCCGTCCAGCGTCATGCCATAAGTACGATAAACCACAATCATCAAGAATATTTTTAACTTTGGGAATCCATTTACACTGAAAAATATTGTCATCATATAAAATCTTAAAAACAATAAACACTGGAGGCCACATTAGCCACATCTTGCATAACACACTTGCATAATGTCCGACTGAGCTGAATTCAGTTGTGTTGCATTGTGGGTAACCGTGGATACCATGCGTTTGATTCGCTTCCCTCTGGAAGGCGCTACAGATCATTCAGAGCCTGAACAAACAGACGCAAACACAGCTTTTTCCCCTTGGCAATAAGGACTCAATGGTACTATGTGCCTATCCTGTTGGGGGTCGTGGGAGGTGGAGCCTATCCCAGCTGACATCGGACAAGAGGCAGGGTTCACCCTGGACAGGTTGCCAGTCTATCACAGGGCTGACACATAGAGACAGACAACCATTCACACTCACATTCACACCTACAGACAATTTAGAGTCACCAATTAACCTGCATGTCTTTGGACTGTGGGAGGAAGCTGGAGTACCAGCAGAAAAATAGTTTATCTTGTGACTTTTAAATAATGATTCGTTTCTATTTGACCTTTACTGTGTGAAAGTTAACATGTCTGCTCCAACAGTCTCAAAACAAGTGTCTGTTGTTGGCTCTGTGATAGACATGTAAGCAATCCGGGCTTATCATGTTTTTTACCTGGGACGTGTCTGGATCGTGTCCAGCCCCACCACATTACACTGAAACATGATAAGCAGGTGGATGGATGGAGTAGATAATGGAGTCAAACACTTAGCACTTATAAAAATGTGTACTTTCAGGATTGTTAGTATCACTGAAACAGTAAAATGTGTTGCTTCATATGTTTGTGACAAAAATATGTCACTGGAACATTTAAAAGTGTGTGTGTGTGTGTGTTTGCATGTACTGTGTGTGATAATGAAGGACAGAATCTTGCCCCACTTCATTCCTAACGTCTTCTGACCATGACAATCTGATCTACGACAACGGAGGTGATCTGTGTTTGTGTCTGTGTTATATAATGTGTCACATTATCTCCATTAACCTTTATTCTACTTTCTCTCCCTTTCACCATCTCCATCTAAAACACATACAGAGACCCTGGATTTTAACTCTACTCATTGTCTTGTCCAGATTACAATGGATAAACTGCTTGTTATGCAACCATTTCCACTTCTCGCCACTGTTACACTTAAAAGGTCAAACAGCTGACACCAGACTGCAGACACTGAAAAAGCACTACCTGTGGTGTGGCAAAAAATGCTTGTCCTGAAGTTCATTGCTTGAGTTAAGGTCATGGTGTTACAAGAAAAAAAGGTTTATCCCCTCAAGAGCATGTTTGTGTTGACATACCATTTGGCCTTTAAGGAATACCTCATCTGCAACATGACCATTTGTATATCAACCGTGTTCCCTGGAATTCCAGAAGAAAATGTTCTTTTTCTTGCATGCCTCCATGATGGACGGAGAATCCAAAAAAGGCTAACATTCTTGATGAATTGAAGTAAATGGAATCTGCCTTCAACAACAGCTAAACTAAATCAGAACACCTTTTTACAAACTCTCACACAACTCGCAGTATAATCCAAGTCTCACTCATATAGTCGTATGCTCAGTACTTCCCGAACACATGCATTTTCACTGAAACATTACTATTTTAAATGACAGTACAAATAGACTCATGCACGGACGAGTAGCATGCCAGGACGCAGGTTACTAGGATATTTCGCAATGTGTGGCCCATAGAGCAAGCGCACTAGAGACTTCCGGCGGCCAAGTGGCTAACTTCTGGTTAAGTGCTCCACTAACTTGAAAGCTGATTATTTAATCATGCAGCTCTTCTACACTTGTTAAATGTTATACTTGTCCTGTTAGGGGTCGCAAGAGGGCAGGAGCCTATCCCAGCTGACATTAGGCGAGAGGCAGGGTACACCCTGGATAGGTCACCAGACTATCACATGGCTAACACATAGAGACAGACAACCATTCACACCTACGGACAATTTAGAGTCACTGATTAACCTGCATGTCTTTGAACTGTGGGAGGAAGCCGGAGTACCCCAAGAAAACCCACGCTGACACAGGGGGAACATGCAAACTCCACACAGAAGGGCTCCTCCATCCCAAGGTTCAAACCCGGGATGGGGGTTGGGGGATGGGAGGAACCCCTTTGCTGTGACAGAGGATACTGCATGTCTACAGACGTATGTAGAATACATCCAACAGCAACTGTCTACAGCACAGAAATGCTAAGGTTTTCCTCCAATTTTAGGTTCATTTGAAAATAAGGCGATTCATAACTGCAGTGCCATGTCAAAATAAAAACAAAACTATGTCAATATATATTATATATAGGCCTTAGTGTGAACAGAAAGAGGACTGAGGCCTCATCAGAGCTTAAGTTGACCAGAAAGAGAACTGAGTACTCTTTCAAATGAACTGACAATGCAAACCCAAAAAGAACTGAGTCCCTTTTCTGTTGGTCCACTTTTTGGTGCACTTCAAGAGAGTGGGTGGGTGGTGCAGGTTTGTAATGCAGCTGGACAGAACCTTTCCCAGTGCTATGATACACTGGCGAACCGCACCTGTTGCAGCAGTATGATACACGACCAGGTGGAATCAACAGACTGCGGCCAGATAGCACGTGTGGCGGTGGTATGATATGCCACTGGATGGCGCCAAAATGCTGCCGGTGACGACTTCATATAAGGCGCTAAGAAAGTCCCTAAACGTCAGGTGGGTGGGTCTAACAAATCACAGACTTTCACCTGGAATCCAACTGTTTGCTTCCCGTAAGAATGCAGAGTCAAACCATGATGTTTTTGTCTAAACCCAACGATGCGCTTTTGTTGACAATCTGGCATTAGTTGCTGTGACTTGGAACGTCAACACAGCACTGAATATGCAGAAAAAGCATGGACCTCCTCACCTATTAAACTCACATATCACTGGTGAAACTTCTCTCCGACAGATGAGAAGATGCATAGGAAGGCATTTGGTAGTCTTTAGCCTCTTAAGGCCAGCAGCAGTGGGTGATTGTGACAAAAACAATTGGGAACAACTAAATGGGGAAACAATGCCAGAGTAAAGTAAAAACACAAGAGCCTTTTGCTTTTGTTTTGACTGTCTGACTGGTCTGTATTGATTCAACTATCTGTTGCTTTCCACAGGATGTCCTTAGTTGGAAACTTCCTGACTGACGAGCAGTTCCTGTGCTCAATCTGCCTTGATGTGTTCACCAACCCTTCGTCCACACCGTGTGGCCACAGCTTCTGCATGGCCTGCATCAACAGATACTGGGACGGATCTAAGGTGTGTGAGTGTCACATTGAAGTCATTCCAGAAATGTCTGAAGGTTGTTTTTCCTATGTTCTTGTCTCCTTGGTCTGCTTGCTTCCTTCTTTGTCTTTCTGTCCTTCCCTCCTGTCTTCTCTTTTTCACTCTGTCCTTGCTTAACCTTTGTTTACCTCCATTTCTTTCCTTCTTCCTTTAGTCCCTCAGTTTGTACCAAGAATTTCTGACAGTGTCTGTCCTTTTTTTATTCCTTTGTTTCCTCCTTTTCTCGCTCTTGTGTGCACTGTGTTTGTGTTGCTTTGGTATTTCTTTTGTGTGTGTATGACTTCATGTTACCATATAGCCTCAGTTTGTGCCTTTCGTGAACTAGCATACCTACTGAAGGCAGCCGCAGAGCCACCATGTGCAGGTGTATTGACCATGCAGCCCTCTTGTGGAGGCCCGAGATGTATGGAAGGGTTGAGACGCATGCCCCTAGTGATGCGAGAGATGGAACCAAACAGGGCCTGGAGCACGTTCAAGGACATTGCCGTCAACGTCACCGATGACAACATTTAATTTGTAAAACAAGAGAAGCAACTGTAGCCAAAACTATAGTTTACAACCAGAAATCATGGACTACCCAGACAATTATAGAGTAGCAATCTACGATGTAAGAAGAGGAAAATAAGGACTAATCTGCACTACAAGAGTTGAAGGTATTTACAGGATCGCATTTTACTCGAGTCGTTCCTTGTATCCAAGTGGTTAAAAATCCCATAAGGAACAAGGAACTTTTAACTGGATATGCAAAAGTCTCTTGTTTCTGCTGATGTCTGTGCGTGACCTACAACAGCAAATGAGCCCATCAGTGTGAAGATAAGCTATTTCTATATAGTGTATATCCATACCTTTAGGAAACTGTCTCCGGGTCCGCCCCAGGTTGCTTCCAGGACGAAACGATTTACGGCACTCAGACGGCACACGTAATCTTACCTAGCTGCTTACATTTATAGTGACTCTTATAAATAGTCGCTATTCCTCCTCCTCGACCTGACGTCCGCAGGGAGTTAAAGTAGCAGCAATCATCGGGTTAATGTTCTGTGAAAGCACTGGACTCACCAACAGTCAGCCACGTCTCAGTCACACAGAGAAAACCCAATCCTCGGGAAGTCAGGAAATCCTTCAGGATAAATGTTTTGTTCGCTAGCATTCCAGCATTTACCAGCCCAATCCTGGCAGGAGCCGGCAGGTCCACGGCATTAGCTGTCCGGGGAGCCACACACAGAGGCCGCAGGTTGCGCAGATTCACCCCGCGCCAGTGGGAACAAGGAGAGCAGGGGCCGCGGGGCTGGAACACCTCATCCAGGCCAACGACAGGTACCAGCCAGGTGTCGACAGGGTCCAGCGAGTGCCAAGAAATAAAGAGGCGAGGCACCGCTCCATACTCAGTCCAAGAAGTCGTGGAAGTGCTCGCCAAAGAGGCCCTCAGCCTTACCAGCTGACCGCTGCGTTTACCCCGCCGGCGGTGGCGCTTACGCCGGAGAGGTGGAGCTGAGGCGCGGCAGTGGTGAGCTGGGATCCCCGATAGGAGCGGGGGCAGAGTTTTCCCGTCTTTTTGTTTCATTCATCCCCAAAACAAACACATACACAAGCCAGGTAAGCGTCTTTATGACAATATGCGCTAGAGCTCATGGGAAATGTAGGCTTCATTCCGGCAAAACACTACCGCTTTTGTCCACAGGGTCGCCAAAATCAACTCACAATCAAAGTTCCTTGTAGGGGCTTTAATTTCATAACATCAATGGTTAATTATATTTTATAGGAATGGATGGTTACCTCAACAACACATTAATACATGAGTAGCACAAACTGGGGCTGGTACCACAATGCATTCAGCAGGTTGTATAGGTTGTTTAAAAATCAACAAGTGATCCATTTATCTTTACGTACATCATATACTTTTCCACATTCCTTTTATCTTGTTTTCTGTCAGCCTTTCTGTCTTTCCTCTTAATTTATCATCTTCTTTGGTTCCCTTTTTCCTCTCCATCCATCCATCCATCCATCCATCCTCTCTCAGGTTTGTCAGTGTCCTCTGTGTAAGAAGACCTTCCAGAAGCGACCAGAACTCCAGATCAACAGGACACTGCGAGAGATTACCGATCAGTTCAGATCTATGACCGGAGGAGGAGTGGGGAGGGACAAGAGAGGGGGGAAAGGAGGAGGAGGAGGAGGAGGAAAAAACCATTATGTACTGGACAATTTATTTGATGAACTGAAGAAAAAGCTGCCTCGACCTCCTCTAAAAACATCAGCGACAATATCCTGTGATACTCAAGGTAAGATGTGACGTCTTATTAAACTGTAACATTAAAGTAACCAAGATAAGAATCCGCACTACTAGTGTGGCTAAAAATAAATGTTGTTAAGAAGTACAATAAGAAGGCTCACAGATGTCGTGCAGACTTCGACTTCCTTGATCTTTCTCTTAATTCTTGTATCTTCTATCTTGGAAGCTATGCCCATCCTGACACCACCAGTCACAACCTCCCTGGCTTCTTCGGTACCAAATGACAGTCCAATCTCTGCCCATACCAACCCCTTCGCACCGCTTCCACCGCCTCCCCATTACTCCCGCTCCAAGGGCCGGAGAAGGTTCACCATGAGTGGGGCTTTGAGCAGCTGCAGCCTCCCTGTCTGTGATATCCACAACAGAGGATTAGTGGTACAATACTTTAACGTACATTATAAACCAATATCTGTAATTGATTTTCAGTCTTTTACATTCATATAGTCCTTTGAGCTTACTGAGTAAGAAAAATGGCCTGTAAACTGTTTCACTGTCTCACTGATTTCAGATTTACTGTCGGACTGACCAAGAATCGATCTGTCCTGAATGTGAGCTCCACGACCATGCGGGTCACGACACAGTTACTCTCGAAGCTGAATGGATGGAAACCAAGGTGGGAAAAACAGAATGATGTTTGAGGTGAATCACTCAGACGTCTGAGGTTACTTCTGAAGTGTCTTTGTTTTAACCAGTGACTTTAAAAGGAAGAAAAACCACAAAGCACAAACTGTTGCAGAGCAGGTAATTGTTGATATTAGATAGCAAGAAGTTCCTCATGTTTGGAAATCTGAGCCAAACAAAGTGAATTTGATAAGGACACAAGGCAGTCTGGACTTGTGCCTCTGTTATGTAAGGAATAATACCGTCCAAGTTGTGCGTTTCATGATTGTAATAGGTGACGTTGAAGCAAAGAACCACCGAACATGAAGTGGTTCTTCACTTTTAGATAAACACAAGAGGCCAGGGTTTTAAAATCCAGATGAATTTTGAAACCAAGATAAATTTGACATCCTCAAGTCATGACTTAACCTACAAGAACACTGGTGGTTACACAAATCACCCTAGCTCTAAGTTCTGGTAAGGGAAACTTTGGTATTTTTTTAATCTGGACCTTATTTTCCCCTGTTTTGTATCTAAAGTCCCGTTTCCACCAAACACTTTTGGTATGGTACCTTTGGAACCAAAGGTAACCCTTCAGCCATGGTACCTAGACCCTAGTGTTTCCACCGCAAACAGTACCCTTAAACGTGGGCAGGGTTGTTGTCACTCATTGTATTTCCCCATTATTGGTGATTGTGACCTTGTTTATCGTCCACAAAACGAGGCTGCACACCGACATTTTCGGAACAAAACCTCAGGGGTTTAGTGTTGCCGTAACCCGACACAATGCGACCCTTTTTTTTCTCCGAGTGAGGATTAGAATATATTAGGTTCACATAACTCGGCCAAAATAAATATATATATATACTTGAACTTGAAGATCCACTCATTACTTAAAGTGTATGTCATTTAAAAACTAAAGTGATGGTCACAGTTGTCACAGTGAAATTTAAGCTGATGGATTCATGTTGTCAACTCATCCTTTCATTTTATAGTTACAGTTTACTAATAAGTCCTCTATTGACCAATCAACAGACTGCAGTGTTCACAGCTCCACCTTTTAGTACCAGATCTGTGTGCTAGGTACCCCAACAGAGGGGGGACCAAACATGGGGACGGTACGGAGCGGTTCAATTGGTACCATCCACAACTTTTCACAGTGGAAACGGAAAAATGCGTACCGAACTGAATTGAACTGTACCATACCGTACTGTTCGGTGGAACCGGGCTTAATTGACTAATGGAGACAACAATTTTTGAAATGTGTTCAGTATTGAGAGACAGCGCTATAGCCATGGCAGCAAAAAAGGCTGCAATGTTATTGCTACAGACAAATGCACTGTCAATTTACGTCCATTTAAAGTGCTTGTTTTCACCACCAAAAACTTAAACCTTGCAGATCCGGTCTGTCTCGTTCAAAAAAAAGTCTCTTCTGATATCTAGCAGACTTTTTCATATGGTCAGATTTAGCTAAATATTCACACATGACCTCAAAAATCTTTTAGATAAGTTAGTTTAGTTTCCACCATTTTTTCCCCGTTAAAGGATGTTTTGGGGTTTTTTCTTATCTGCTGTGAGGGTCTAAAGACAGAGGGATGTCGTATGCTGTGAAGCCTCCTGAGGCTGTGATTTGTGATATTGGGCTATACAAATAAAATTGAATTGAAATGGGATAACACTAAGCTCTCAAACTCTTCTTGGCAATCTGCTCTTCAGCTCTTGCTAATCATTCTGCTATTGTCTTCCTGCAACCAGTCAATTTTGCAAGATTTTGGACGAGACTTCTCCTTGAGTGAGAGTTCGTCACCATAACAAACAGACCAGCGAAGGTTAGGAACAGAGTTTCATTTCTCTGTGCTGTCCTTTCTGTAATGTCTCCAGACACCTGTATCAATAATCTGAGCCTGTTAGTGGCAAAAACAAGCACTTTTAGTGGATGGAAATTGGTCGTGTGCAATTGTCCGTAGGGATTACATTGCAACCTGTTTACAGGTTTCTTGCACGCAAAAACATGGGAAATAGCGTCCAGGTTGAAAAATACCTTAGTTTTCTTTTAGCTAAGCCTCACTGTTACGGTCATTACCCAAAGTTTAACACTGATGCATTGATTCAGAACTGCAATCAAATACATAAAGCCTACCATTGGTCTCTGTTTATTCTGTCTGCAATGACGATACACCTCTAGGGGCAACAGACAATATTTCAGACGTTCTGGTGCAGGCAGTGGATATCCGAGCCAAGACTTCCTCTTTGTACATCCTCAGTTGTCTCTATCAACCGATACCTGCTATGAATGCAGATAAATAACTAAAAAAAAAAAGCTACAAAAAAGCTAAATTTTTGCCGGACGATAGCAGATAGGTTCCAAGATTGCATTTTAGCCAGTGCTTTCCAGCTCTTTTACTCTCCACCTGGACCTGCATTCAAACATGATTGGTCAATACTACATAGAAACCAGAACGCTACCAATACTAAAACCTTGTACCGCAGTCGTAACTAAAAGTTAAATACCTACGTTTATGAGCCCGGTTTGCAAAGAAGGAAAAAACATCTGTATTCAAAATGTCGCATAGCAGGCTAAGGATTGGAGTACAACTATAAACACATAGTGAGTCATACTCAAAAGTGTGTGTGTGTGTGTGTGTGTGTGTGTGTGTGTGTGTGTGGGCGTGTGTGTTTGTGTGCAGGGCCAGCTAAGTGTGTCGGAGCAGGAGATCCAGGAGATGATCAAACAGCGAATCAAGAAGATCGAGAAGATCAGACTGTCCGTGGCTGATCTGGATGTAAGTTCCTGTAAATGCCACAGGTGTGTCGCAAAACCTGTAAATCCTCCTGTCATCCCTTTATCAGCTTAAATCAGCTTTAATCTCAAACACTGTCACCAACTGTTTTTCCTTCTTTTTTTTTTTTTTTTTTTACTTAACTTTCATTTTTCTCCCAACTTCTCGGGGTTTTAGCCTGAATTTATGGGTCTCCATCCAAATGTTTGGTTTCATTAACAACTTCTGTTTTTGTGATTATTAGGGGTTTGACAAGTATGTTTTAAATTTCAAGGTTTCTTTTACATAATTTGGGGTTATTCATTCCATAATTTTTGGGACTTTACCCAAACATTTGGGTGATTACAAGATTTTTTAGGTTCTCCCTGACTTTAAGGGTTTCAGGGGTGGCCAGATATTCAGGGTTTTAAATTTACTTTGGGGTTTTACTCAAAAATGTGTTTTTTCAATTTTCCTTTTCTTTGTTTTGTTTTCCTGATTATGGATTTTCAGCATTTTAATTTCTTTATTTGAGAGGTTTATGTACACTTTACCTAAATTTCTTTTTGCATGAACAACATTTTTCAATTTTACCAGAATTTACAGGTTCAGTGGTTTGACTGGATTTTCTAGGTTTTACCCAAAATTTGGGGATTTTACCCAATAATTTTCAAGGTTTTATTTCTGTAATTCTTGGTTTTTATAACATTTTTTGGGGGGTCATCGTTCTCAAATTCAACATTCATTCCTAACTTTTTCAGGACTAAATAGCTTTCAGGGTTTTACCCAACTTTTAGGGCTATACCCCAAGTTTGAAGCCTATTTTTTTAAATTTTATTTCTGTATTTTGGGGTATTTATAAGATTTTTGGGAGGGTCATGGTTCTCAAATTTCACAGTCATCCCTACCTTTTTGAGGTCTAACCAGTTTTTTGGGGTTTACCCAACTTTAGGGTTTTTAGCCCAAGTTTAGAAGTATATTTTCAAGGTTTTATTTCTGTAATTCTTGGTTTTTATAACATTTTTTGGGGGGTCATCGTTCTCAAATTCAACATTCATTCCTAACTTTTTCAGGACTAAATAGCTTTCAGGGTTTTACCCAACTTTTAGGGCTATACCCCAAGTTTGAAGCCTATTTTTTTAAATTTTATTTCTGTATTTTGGGGTATTAATAAGATTTATCGGAAGGTCATGGATCTCAAATTTCATATTCACACCAGTTTTGAGGGTTTTACCCACCTTTTGGGGTTTTACCCCCATTTTTTTTACCCCAAAGTCTATATTCAATTTTCAGGTTTTTATTTTTGTAATTTGGGGTATTGATACCTTTTTGGGAGAGGTCAGGGTTCTCAGTTTTAGTTTCATAGTATTTCCCAACTTGTGCGATCATTTCTACCTGACTTTTGGCAGTGTGGGTTTCTGACATTGTAAATCTGGTCCAGCTCGATGCTACACATTCCCATTAGTTTGAGGTATTATACCTTACAAGAGAATATGAATGCAGCTGAAAATTTACACACTTAAAATGGTGACTGTGACAATGGTGTCTTCAAAGTTTTAACATCACAGACTCATAAATTCCCCAGCTGGCAATTGAGCAAGAGACGGCGGGCAGCGTGTGCCTGTTTTCTGAGCTGATGTCTGTCATCGAGCGCTCCCAGAGGGAGCTGATGGAGGTGATGGAGATGAGCAGGAGGGCGGCCGAGCATCAGGCCGACGCCCTGATACGACAGCTGGAGCTGGAGGTTGAAGAACTGCGGAGGAGAGAAAGCGCCCTCGCCGAGCTCGCCCAATCTGATGACTACTTGCACTGTGTCAAGGTTGGTGAGGATCCAACGGGGTATATCTGGGTGGTATACTTGCATAAAGCAGACATTGTGGGAAACCTGAGTGGACTTGTACTTGGACATTTGACTTGTATTCATTTTCCACCTACTCTCCAGACATTCCCCATGCTCTCCAGCCCTCCACCTGCCAAAGACTGGTCTGGGGTGTCGGTGAACTCTGACCTGGGGACAAGGACCATCTACAGGTCGCTAGCAGCAGTGATGGAGAGGTTCCAGGAGGAGCTAAAGGTTATCGCCGAAACAGGTCAGTGTAATACAAAAGCTAGTTTCCAAGGATTAAAAACAATAAAGACGGCCAGAGTAGAGTCAAAAGAGAGTTTTATGACAAATGACCTGTGCTTTATGAAAAGTACTCCTCTTCTTTAGAGCCAAACACAACAATAGATCTATTAAGTACTGAAATGCTGCCCTCTGGTGGTTAAGCTTAGTATGAGCCATTCAGTAGTGAATTAAACTTAACAGGCAAATGGTTGAGCTCCTGGTACAAGTCTCCTGTTCCTCTGCAGGTTTTCCTGCCTCAACATTGGAACCCTGTCCGATCCGACCACAGCCCAGTGAGTGTCCACTCCCACTCCACCTTAAGTAGGCTCGCCATACAGGTCAATACTGAACATAAATATGTGAATGATATCTGCCATCCACCTTTAATGTGCCAGATGCAAACCACTCAATCTATCCTACCTTAAACAGTTAAACACATACTGCACAAAGTCACGATCGCATTCCACCTTAAACAGGTTAATGATATAAATCTATACATTGTATTATACAGGAGTTTTGCATTGTTTTAATGAAACATTTCTGTTTTTTTCCTGCAGGAATAAAGAGAATACAGGAGTATGCAGGTACAGAACAAAACTATGGACAAGTTTTTGACTGAAGCTTCGAATGTCTGCCATCATATTTAATGAAAGAAAATCCTTAAACAAATCCTCAATATAATTAAAGGGATTTGTTGAATTAAGCAGATGAGTCTTTCTTAATATTATTATTAAATCAGCATCCTTTGATCCTGAACACCAATAAACATGGACTGAAACAGAATATTTCATTAGACAACATTATTTCTTTTATCTTTTTTCAATAACTTTTGGACTCGATCAGAAGAGTTGGAAACAATCCACAGCAGCCACCACTGAAATCTAATTCTACAAATAGTATAATACTAATAATTTAGTGTAACTTAATCGTTATCTGCAACTGTGAAGAAATACTGGGTTTAACTGCATGAATAAGCATCCATAAAAAAAGAGCTGTGCAGCGTTTGAATGTTGATTTACAATCGAATGTCAACATTATGAATGGATTTCTGAAGCCTCAAACTATTCAGTGCAGCCCTAGATTAAATATAGAATCATATAAAATTATTTATATCATGTTTTCTTTCTTTCAACACAGTGGATGTGACTCTGGACTGCAACACTGCCCATCCCAGACTGATTCTCTCAGAGGACATGAAGAGTGTGAGACGCCTGTTTAATTGTCATATCATAGAATGATTAATCATTCAGAGTGGATTTGTAGTTTTTAATTAGCAAGCATTAAAGGTCCAGTGTGTAGGATTTAAGGGAATATACTGGCAGAAATGGAATATAATATAATTAATATGTTTCCTTTAGTGTATAATCACCTGAAAATAAGAATCCTTGTGTTTTTTGTTACCTTAGAAAGAGCTGTTGATCTGTCTGTGCTGAAAAACACTGAACACTGAAGGAAGCAGAGGAAGTTTCATCTGGTTGCAATGTGCAATCCTCACCACTAGATGCCACTAAATCCCCTCTAAATCTTACACACTGAACCTTTAAGTTATCCAGTTTGTATCTAACTCAGGGACTAAAACCTGCAGTCACAAAATCACTGTCTTGGTTTTTGGTTTGCAAAATTTTCCTTCCAGTTGTCTTTGCATAAATCACTGACAGACTTATGTAACAGTAATATAAATCACATAGAAAATGGGCTGCAGATGGTGGAGTTGCCCCTGTATCAGTAATCGTGTCCTCTGTCTGTGAGGTTCAGAACTGATGAACTGTGTGTGTTTCTGCAGGTGAGGTGTGGAGATCGACACCAGCTGGTTCCAGACAATCCAGAGAGGTTTGACAGAGTCGTCTGTGTTGTTGGGAGGGAGGCTATCTCCTCTGGGAAACACTACTGGGAGGTGAGAGGCTCTCTCCTATAAGTATGTATTATTTGACAAAGAAAACTCACTTGAGGAAAAAAAATCAGTTTTTCTGAATTAATGAGATTATTATCTCAGAATGTGAGAAAATCACGCTCTTATTTACGCCGCCACTCCCTTCCACTGTACGAAAATGAAGCCAAAGTATCTCAGATACGGCTACTGCCATCTTGCACTGGTGGCATCATTTGGAGCCAGAGAGCCAGATTAAATGTCCTTTATCCTGTGATCAGGTGGATGTGGGCGGGAAGACGGACTGGGATCTGGGCGTGGCCAGACAATCAGTCAACAGGAAGGGGAAGATTGAAGTTACTCCAAGCAACGGATACTGGTTCCTCAGCCTGAGAGACAAGTGAGTCTCGCCAGTCGTTAGTGAATTTCCCCCAAATTGCATGTTTTTTTTTTTGTTTGTTTTTTTGTTAGACTTAGTCACGGAATTCGAGTTTTGATTGGTTGCTTCTTACAGCTCATTGTTTTGCTTTTCTGACCTGCCATTACACTCTCATGTGCCTTGTCTCCTGCAGCAGCGGGCAGCTGTTTTCAACAGATAAAAGCTCAGGGTTCCTGCCGTCATGGAAAATCTGGAAAAGGCATGGAATTCCACTGTCTCATTTTCCAGGCCTGGGAAATTCATGAAATCAGTTAAATATATGGAAGTTTTAGAAAAGTCATGGAATTTTGTTGTGTGTAATGAAAACAATTGTCACAGTAATCTTCCATGGATAACCTTCCACGTCATATAACACAACAGCAAATTTATTTTCAGTAAGCTAGCTGCTGATGTAACATAGTTAAACAACCACAAACAAGTACCAAACGACAACAAGGAGACACAAAATGACTACAAAAAGACAGAAAACAACCATAAGTAAACAAAGTAACTACAAAGAGACACAAAACAACCACAAGAAGACACAAAAGGACTACAACAGACAAAACAAATACAAAGACACAAAGCGACTACAAAGAGACACAAAATGACAACAGAGAGACACAAAACAACCAGAAGAAGACACAAAATGACTACAACGACTCAAAGCGACTACAAAGAGTCACAAACCATCCACAAGCAGACTCAAAACAACAAGAAGAAAACACAAAATGACGACAAAGAGACACAAAATGACAACAAGAGACACAAAATAACTACAAAGACACAACACAACTACAAAGAGACACATAACAACCACAAGAAGACAAAAAATGACTGCAAAGAGACACAAAATGACTACAAAGACTCAAAGCGACTACAAAGAGACACAAACCAACCACAAGCAGACTCAAAGCAACCACAAGAAGACACAAAATGACCACAAAGAGACACAAAATGACTACAAAGAGACACAGAACCACAAGGAGACACAAAATGACCACAAAGAGACACAAAACAACCACAAGGAGACATAAAATGACTACAAAGACTCAAAGCGACTACAAAGAGACACAAACTAACCACAAGCAGACTCAACGCAACCACAAGATGATGACAAAGAGACACAAAACAACCATAAGAAGACACAAAATAACTACAAAGAGACACAAAATAACCACAAGGAGACACAAAATGACTACAAAGAGACACAAAATGACTACAAAGAGACACAGAACAACCACAAGGAGACACAAAATGACCACAAAGAGACACAAAACAACCACAAGGAGACACAGAACAACCACAAGGAGACACAAAATGACCACAAAGAGACAAAAAACAACGATAAGCAAACAAAGCAACTACAAAAAGACACAAAACAACCACAAGAAGACACAAAATGATGACAAAAAGACATGAAATGACTGCAAGGAGATTAAAAACAATTACCTCAATAAAACGCAAATGACGACAAAAAGACACAAAACAACCACAAAGAGTTAATGTAGTCCAAAAACAGAGCTATTAGTACTTAACAGTTAACAGTTAATACTGGACTTGCATTCATTCATCAGGTGGACACAAACACAACTCCAAATGAATGATGAAGTTACTCTGTAACTACTGGATGTGTAGATAAGCAACTGTTTGCTTGTTCTGCTGCCACCAAGTGGCCAAAAACGTCTAGTGCAGCTTTATTCTTCTCAGCATTTGTTTCCTTGAAGTCATTTTCTTTTTCCAAAAAAATTTGGTATTAAATAATCTGATAACGAACCTCCCTCGTTGTAGGGGGTTATTGTTTACATAATCCTGTTTAAAAGCAATCTTAAATAAAAAACTATAATTTTTTTGCAGCAGAAGCTCAGATTTCTGTCATTTGCGTCATCATGTCATCCGATGGTGATGATGTCATTACGTTATGCCACAAGCGGTCTAAAAGATTGCAAAAAACGTGCAGTGGCGCCAAAGAAGCAGAGAAGCACGTCTACAGAAATGTCTGTTGTATTTTATTTCAATACTTTTATTAATTATAATAGTTTATTGACTTACATTGCATTTTAGCTTTTAGGTTGTACAGATTTAAGGGTTATGAAATACCAAAAAAAATACCAATGTAGGCATTTTTACTACAGATGAAACTATCAAAATGGCTTTGTCTACTCATAAAAATGAGCAAAAACTAAAAAAATGTACATTGTTTAAATAACGTAAAGAGTAGTAAGAAATATTTTGATCATGTTTTTACATTTAGAAATCTCTTGTATCAACATGTTTTATGTTAAGTAGGGTCTATAATACTAAAAATAATAAATAATAATAATAAAATGTTGAAAAATAGAGATAGTTTAGGCTGTTGTAAAATATGTGTGGTGAAAAATATGGCCGACTGTGACACCAGAGAAAATTTTGATTACTGAATTTGAATCAGCTTTTCTTTTGTCACTCTTATTTCCTCTCTGAACTCTCCACAGGAACAAGTACGCCTTTCGCTCTGAGCCGTGCACTGACGTCCAGCTGAGCCTCAGACCCCAGAGGATTGGGATATTTGTGGACTATGAGAAAGGACAGGTGCAGTATGGGAAATGCACTTTGCATTTTAAATTTTCTTGTCTTCAACCAAGTGTTTTCAGGTAACTGTGTGTGTGTCCTCTTGGCTCTACAGGTGTCTTTCTACGACGTCGATGCCAAAGTCCACATCTACACATTCAACGACACTTTCACTGAATGCATCTTCCCGTTCTTCAGCCCCTGTACTAATAAATCTGGGAAGAACGATGGGCCGCTGATTATAGCGCCAGTCAACATTACATAGTGACAGACCGACCAGGAGCGTCTCTAGGATTTGAAGACATTGGGGGCTCAGCCCAGACCTCTGACATGGGGGCAGGATTTTATTTTTATTTTTTAATAAACAAGCTCTATTTTTTTAATGCACCTTATTTACACTAAAAGTACATGTCTTGATCAAAAAAAGTAATGTGTGCCTAAAAAACAGTTTTTACTTTCCAGGTTAAAGGGGACCTTTAATGTTTTTCCTTTTTTCTGTCATTATAAACTTTTATTGGTGAGTTTTTACAGTAGAAAGATACGAAGTTTTGTCTTTAAATGTCTTCTTCTTCTTTTTGATACATATGCACTTAGTTGTCTTGTAAAAAAAAAAATGACTCCTGGTTATACATTTTTTATATAAATATCTATTTTTGGCCTGTTAAACTTCCTGTTGTCCTCTGACTTTGTATAGTTAATAATGCCAATTAGACATTTGAGTTTTGTGTTGTAAATGATTTGCTGATCATTTGTTAAATAAACATTTTCTGATACAAATATATTTGATATAATTCTTGCGGTGACTGTGGTCATTATCTGCAGATTGAGCTTCAGAGGAAAAGTTTGACTTTAACTTCCTTGAAAACGGAAAGCAATTTGGAGACATAACCTCGGGGTCTGGAATACTGTGACGCACAATACTGTAATAAATTTTAGTTGTTAACGATTAAGGGGGAATGCCGAAAAATTCCACACCTTCATTTGGTTCACTTCACTTTCACACTGCACTTTTTAAAGCGGACCAAACCATCTGGACAACGTCATGCAGTTACAACAGCTGCTTGCTTGGGGGCAGTATTGCCCGAAATGACCCCTGACCAGGAAGAAAAAAAGCATGAGGAAGAAGAAAATCCTACTCATCGATTGGCCGGGACTGAAAATGGAAATCCATCCCCTTCAGCCGGCTTGGTCACCACAAAACCACCAAACACCAAAATGCACTGCACTCTTCGTCACTTCCTCTCTTTGGTCCGCTGGATAGTCCGTTTGCATTTCCCACTAGGGCTGTCAACGAATATTCTAAATTCGAATTTAAATTCGAATTTGAAAAAAAAAATGGACCTTCGAATGTGAAAATTGATATTCGATTGTGGAGAAAAAAAACACACCACCGCAGCTGTCCTCTTTGTGAGTGGGCCGCTGCACTGAACGCACTGCCAGGGCCACACCGCCCGCAGAAGTGCTGCGAAGCACAGCGCACCGAAATTCTTGCGCGAGGTCAGCAGTCGTTTATAACGTAATGTTATGGATAATTGTTTTATGTGTTTTAATGTGTATGTAAATGTTTTCAAAGACATTTATGTTGAAATAAAAATAACTACAAGTAGTTATGTTTCCTTGTATTAATACATATACAAGTATGTTTCCTTGTATTAGTTTGCCCTCTTGTGGACATAATGTGTAAAAAATTCGAATGGTTTGAACCTATGAGTTATTTTTAGAAGGAATATTCAAACGTCATTTTTGAGCAATTTTGACAGCCCTATTTCCCACTGTAAGTGAACCGCACCAGGGTTCGCTTGCAAGTGAACCGAGACCCCCAGTTTTCAAGTGGACCAGGGTTTACTTGTTTGGTCCGCACCAGAGTTTGAATGAGCGTTCACACCACTCCAAACAAACCAAACTATCCGTGGAAGCAGACCAGGGTTCGTTTAAAGTAAATAGTGCCAGTGTGAATGCGTCCTGAGACAGCTCCTGGATGCAGGCGACAGGCAACAACACAGACATTTCATGTACAAGACGTATATAACGCATACAGATAATAATAATTAAATAATTATAAAAATTAAATAATTAAGAGTGCAGGTGACATCTCAAATGTGGCTTTGACTTGCAGCTGAACATGTAGCCCATTTGGATATAAATAGTGTATCGCCAGTCAGCTTGTAAATACAGAAATTTAAATTTCTGTCCATGTCACTCAGCCCTACTTGAGAGATGCAGTGTTTTCACTCACTGTTCATTAGAAATATCAGGAAACAACCATGGTCAACTCTGTCCAAGAGCGATGGGATGGAGGTGACTCTCTCTGTGGGCAGGTGTCAGTCTGCGTCCTGTGGGGGAGCACTTCCACTGCAGCTCTGGTCACAGCCTCCGAAGCACACTATCCACAGAATTCAGGAATACTTTTACTTTATGTCTTTAAACTACAAATGTTCTGCTTATCACAGGTCTCAGTGTCCATACTTACTCAGAAACTGGGTGCAAAGTGTCTTTTCCTCCCACAGCGCGCGGTTGCTAACTAACTAGCCAACTAGCCACAGCTCACCTGGTGCTAACAGTTCATGTAGCTTAGCTTAGCACTGACTGAAAATAGCTTCTAACATGCTTCTAACACGCTCCTCTGGAGTTTAAACACAGCTACAGCCTGATATGAAACCCCTGCTGGCAACAATACGAACATATTTACAGGCTTTATGAGCTTAAACACTTTTAGCATCTCTGTGTTAGCTTATCTCTTCTGCTTGACTTTATATGTTCAAGGACACTCCAAGTGTAGGAAATTCTAAAACTTACTGCAAAATAAGTCTTAACCATATTGTATGGTCTTAACACTAAAACTCCTGAGACTTAAACTTTTGTTTGATTCACATTTTTAATTTCTCCTAGCTATCTGGGATCAGTAGGACCTGATAAGTATAAAAACTAACAACAATAATTAAGTCCCAATACCCTCAAGTCCTGACGTCCTCAAACGGGACAACAGTAAAGTCCCCAAATGCGTTCTTCCTAATTAACAGTGTCTTAGCTTGTTACTGTCGCTAAAATTGGTCAATTTTGTTGCCATGTAAAACAACAAACAGTATTAATCATAAATAAACAAGTTTCAAACATCAAAATGTGATCAGGTTGTGGACCTTGTCCACTTTCGTGTCAGGGTCAGCTGCGGACTGACTTGGCAAAGATGGCTGCCATCTTGTCTCACATTAGTTTATCCTTCTGAGACCCTTGCTGTGTCTCAAATCACATACTTCCGTTAGTACACTTCCATGTAGTATACTATGTGCACTATAGTGGCATAGTGCGCAAATTTCGACAGGGTAGTGTTGTCTCAAACCAAACACGGCCGTTGTGCACTCACTGGAAATGACGACCGCAAACTAGCTAGTTAGCAAACTAGCATTAGCATTCGCGTTATCGTTCGCGGTACCAAATCATTACAGACTGCTAAATTTACCCAATAAACATACTGCTGGCTTACACCTGACAACAATATAGTGGTGCTTAGTGCAAAAAACACATGTATTTGTACAATGCAGCGACGTTCATGGTCGCGCAGTCCTCGGCTGCCATTTCCAGTTTGAAAAGTGGTCCCTCCCCTTCTGCTACGTAGCCAAGATGGTGACCATTGAGGGCGAGAAGTGTCCATAGTTCCACACTCAACTTCTTGACCGTTTTGAGTGCACCATCCTGGTACTCATAGTGCACTGCATTTTTCCATACTTCTCAGTGTGATATACATTAAATAAGGGTACTACACTGCACTTAAGTCATCAACAAATAGTCCGCAGATTTAAAGGAACAGTGTGTGAGATTTAGGGGGATTTAGTGGCACCTTCTGGTGAGGACTGCAAATTGCAACCAGCTGAAACTGCGCATGGTCAGAATTCCCTCTGTGTTCATTGTTCAGGAGGTTTTTACCAGGAGCCGAATTATCCGCAGAGGTCTCTTCCTCTCTAAAACAAACAGACCATGTGATTAACGCCTCTATGTACAGAGACGACCAGAAATCCATTCATTCTTAAGGGAATCTGCGTGATGTCCAATGTGCCTTCGAAACTCCTCCCCTGTTATATTTTGGTCCGGAATTTGCCTTGAGTACGTTGAACTTTTGCGTTGGATTTCGGAGACACTGTATGACAGTGTGCTAGCTTAGCGAACAGGCTGCTAACTGGCTAACAGGCCATTTCCTTCAGTTCATTTGCCTGTGTTGATGGTCAAGTGAGTTTGTATGATTAAAAAAGTACTTATTTACTTTAAACACATTGTGAATTTGAGTAATGTTGTTCTGCTAAAATATGGTTATACATTATAGTCTTTTCACAAAACCACGTACCTGGCAGGCCAACATATTAATTTATTTGTTGCCAGGCAAAATTGCTCCTGTTTTTGTCTCAAGTTACCTGCAGAGGTCTATTCCTCTCCAAAACAAGAAATAGAGTCTCATTTCTAAAACAACGCGAAGGCTCCATACTAAAAATGCACGAACAGACAAAAGCCAAAAATGCGGTGCACAAAGAAATATTCTACAATTCCTACAATCAGGCTTCCACCCCACCGTCTGTGTTGCCAATCTCCCATCTTCAGAATGTTGGTAAGCATGGGTCAAAGTTTGTCTGTTTTTATAGATCACAAATTTTACGTGGGAAGTGGCGTACACCTCTTTTAGGCCTGGTTTTGAGTGTATGCAATGTTCATAAATGAGAACCCGTGTGATTAAAGGTCGTAAAACCACTGACTAAAGCAGTTTCACATTTTATTTTATTTTTTATTTATTTTATTTTTTTTTTGTAACACTCCTTGTGGAGCGATGGCGATGCAACATGCTGACCTCCATGTATGAGAACCCGCTCCCTATGTAGATATAAAGATGTCATTCTTAGATAATGAAAACACAGCAATTCTTATTTAAACACTAATGAAAACATTTGTTTTATTGTGTTCCATTTCTGCCAGTATCTCCTCCTGAAACCCTGTGTCCTCATTTTGGGTTTACTGGACCTTATACTTCATTCTACTTGACTCAGACCTGTTGTCCTCAGTCGTGCACACTTTTTTGTGCCACCTCGTGGTAGTAAGAGCACAATACACTAATCCACGTAAAAACAAGATGGCAGCCATCTCTGCCAAGTCAGTCTGCAGCTGATCCTGACACAAAAGTGGACAAGGTCCAAAACCCGATCACATTTTATAGTTGTTGTTTACTTACGATAAATAATGTTTGTGGTTTGATACGGCAACAAATTTGTCCAATTTAAGCAACAGTAACAAGTTGAGACACTATTAATTAGGAAGTACTCGTTTAAAGACATTGACTTTATTGTCGTTGACAGTGTTTAGTTTTTTATA